AGAAACATCAGGGGAGCATGTGTACAGGGTTAAGGCCACATTAGAACAAGGAAGATGGCTGTTTGTAAGTAAGAAGTGTCAGGAAAAAACAAACCCAGAGATCTTCATCTTGACCTTCCAGTCTCCAGAAACATAAGGAAGCAGCAACAGCCAGTATAAGTATAATATACGAATTCAAGTCTCCACAGTTAAAAACTTTTCCAGCAGTCCCATTTTTAAAAACATAAAATTTTAATATATTTTGTTTAACCTATATACCAAAGTACTACCATTCTAACACACATGAAGTTATCAATGAGTTATAAACTCTTTTGTTCTATCTTCAAAACCTAGAGTGGATTTTATAGTTACACATATCTGAATTTAAATTAGCTACACTTTAATACGCCACAAATAGCTAAAGGTGACTGACTTAATATGGGCTTAATTAATGTATTTTCATGGCTCTTTACAGCGAATACTCCTTAAAATTGCATATCATATAAAATTTGTCCTGATGTAACTTCACACGTTTGAATTACTCAGTATCCTAACTTCATGCTTTGTGACACTCAAGATTGTCAGAACCCAAGCGCCAGCCTTTGGTCAACACAGGCTTTTTACGTTGGCATCTTTGTTCATGATTATCTCATGGAAAAAATCAAGGGTTAAACATCAAATAAGATTTACAGTGGCAAGACCAAAATGGAAATTCACAAATGACATCTTTTCTAAAACTGGCTAATTTTAACTTTACATTCAAAGTTTTACTTGTAAACATGGTCTTTTTTTTTTTTTGTCAGGGAAGTTTTCCTATAGATATGTATACTCAGGTCTCAAGCATTCAAAGCATGTATCCTAGTCTTAAATCTCTCTCCCAAAATCCCTTTAGTGGAAATATGAACAGAGGAATGAATAACACCTAAATGAACAACGTCAGAGAATTATCACAAAGTGAACACCCTTGGATAATTACCCATCAGAAACCTCACTACTCTCAGTCACCCCCTTCCCAAATGTAGTCACTATTTTTTGTTTTGAGCTTGTGTAGCTAGAAGAACACATTATGCAATTTTCACTGGTTTCCTTTGTTCAGACATCACATTGTGAGATTCTTCCATAAACTGTTAATTTGCGTATCTCTATTTCCATTATATTATCATTATGAAATATCTAATAGTAGGCACTATTGCCTCGAGCTGTACTTTGTTTAATATTGTTCTAATATCAGCTTTTATTTGGTTGAAGATCTCAGGCTAGAATTTGACACCTGCATTCTGCAGAATCGAGGACTTAGTAGGCAGGTTGGAGAGGTAGTATGGGGCCAGGTACCTTGCATGCGGTGGCCCCTGTTTCAAATACTGGCAATCTTCATGGTCTCCCAAGACTGCCAGGAGTGATCCCACAGGAAATAAAATAGGGTAACAGGGAGGGAAAAAAATCACTGAGGTGGGAACTGCTACAAATTATAAAGTGAGTCTAACACTTCTATTCCTATAATTAGAAACAAATGTTGGGCATTAAAAGTTGGCGGGTTTATATGTTTTGAAACTGTTCAAGTACCAGACTTGCTCAAAAATGGCTTGCTTTCTGGAGTGAAGAATTATCAAGTAGAATTCCCACATATTCTTAATTAGCTATAGGAAAGTTTTAGCCGTATGTATGTGTGCTGACCTCAATTGATGAGACTGACAACCTGATTCACTTTTGGGACTACCTACCAAAGCCTCGAATTTATGGATTTAGTTTTCAGTGCCACTCTTGGCAGTGCTCAGGGGTTACTTGTGGCTCTCCACTCAAGAAATCACTTCTGGTGACGGTTCAGGAGACTGTTATTGGATGCCAGAGTCAAACCCAGGTTAGCCACGTGCAAGGCAAGTGTCCTACTGGCTGTATTCTCTTTCCTTCAACACCCAACAAAAAATTGTGAATTTAAACTCTGTTCACTAGATCACATATTTTTTCTGTTTTTTTTGGCCCCACCAGGTGGTGCTCAGGAGATCATTTATGGTGCCAGGCATATGTGTAACTCAAGTGCCCTACCCTGCACTGTACTTGTGCCAGCCCCTAGACCACACATTTTTAAAAGCTAAATTAATATTGTTTAACTCTTTGTATTGTAACAATACCTAGTTCAATTGTTGTGACAACTGGTACTTGGCAAGTTGAAGAGTTTTCAGTAAAGGTCAAAAGTTGAATCGTCTCTTTTGCCTCCTTGTAAATCTTAAATTGAAGCTTTAAACCCCAGTCTCAGAATTTGACTTTTTGTAGAAGGGGCCTTAAAAGAGGCAATAACGAATAGAGAAATAATCAACAGGTCTTATAGCACTGCCACGTGTGGCAGCACATATGGGTAGCCCAGTATGAGTGAGTATGGATGGAGTTTTTGCGTCAAGGAATGTTTCTTGCAATTAGCTTTCTCAAGTTTATATGCAATTCGTCTAAAAAAAACTAGAGTGGGCACGTAGTTTTACTCCTTGCTAGAAATACACTCACCAGGTATGAAATATTTAAATACTTAACTCCTGCAGCATAGGATCCTGGGTGCAAGTGAGAGAACTAGCTAAAGTAATGAGCAGGTCTCTAGTCCAGGCTCTGGAATACAGCTTCCGGCAAGCCACTTTCTTATTTCCAGTTTTCTTTAAAAAGTATGAACTGAGGCCTGGAGCAATGGAACTATATAGGGTGCTTGCCCTACACATGGCAGAACTGGGTTTGATCCCTAACACCCCTTACTATCCCCCTTGAGCCCTGACAGAAGTGATCCCTGAGCAGAGTCAGGAATAAGTCCTGAGCACAGCTGGGTGTGGTCCCTGCAGAAAGCAGAAAGTGAGGGGCCAGGATGTACCTCAGATGCAGAACACATACTCTGCATGTGTGGAACCCTGGCTTTGGTACCTGGTAAATTCTACCCACCCTGCCCCTACAGTGGAAACAAAACAAAGTGATTTCTTAGAGTGATGTCTGTTAAAAACCTTTAAGCCTCCATTGAAGATTATAAGCTCTTGGTAAGTTTCACAAATAACTACATTTTCCTGACAAAAATGCCTCATGCTTTAAAACATTTATGTAACATTACAGGAACAACAGGTTTTACAGGTAAGACACACAAGCAGGGTTACTCCCTTATTTTCCGTTCCAATGGGTAAAAAATAAATAACTGCTTAGACTCCTACAATTTGATAATGACTCTCTTTTGGGGGCCCCATCTGGCAGTGCATGGAGCGCAGAACTCCAGCGCAGTTCTCAGAGACCGCTCCTGATCTCTTGGGGTACCATGAGGAGCAGATCAAACCCAGGGCTCCCACATACAAAGCATGCACCTCAGACCTCTGAGCGAGCGAGAGACAGAGACACAGAGAGAGACAGCAGTCACATACACATGTAGCAAAGGGAAGAATCATAGACGATGCTGCCCTACAAAAGCACTTGAAATGAGTAGTTACGTACTGAAGAGAGACGGCTAGTAGACTGAGTTTCACCCTCCAGTTTAAAAACTGTATCTATCGTGTTTCTGGTTCTTTAATTACGACAAATTTAGGTGGATGACTATGAAAAAGAAAAGAAAACATGACATCATTAGAATCACAAGGTAAGACAAAGAGGAAACCCAAAGTACAGATAAGAACACAGGAAAATTTTAAGAGAGTACAGATGTCATGACATTTATTAAAAGGCATGCTACAAATGCTATACTTGTTAGGAAAAGAGATTCAAGATATCAGATAATAACAAATATACAAATGAAATGAAATGGGATATACTGTAGTGTACAGAAGCTTGAATTAACCATGCACTACGCATTTAGAAAATATGTTTTTAATATTTTATCTTCTCTTCATGTATAACATAAACCACTTCGATAATCACAGAATCCTCTTCGTCCAATGCCACAAACTGTTACAAACAAAAGCTGGTACTGCTGCTTATCAAAATATACAAGACAATTGATGTTTCATATAAAACCACTTTATATGTTAACTTGTTCCCAAAACCCTTTTTTTTTCTTTTTTGGCCTGGTTAAAAAAATGTTGTTACAAATATTTACAGCATTTTCTCCCGCTAGATGAATATTCTTATAAACTGAAAAAGGGAATTTTATGAACAGACCATATAAAACAAGAGACAATGTCAGAGGCTCCTAGCTGTGCTATTTTTTTTCTTAAATACAGTACTGAAAATGCCCATCAAACCCTTGTACACCATTTTATTCTGTTCACATTAAACTCCCATTTTCTCTGAGTATCTATTCACTAAATAGGAAATAGAAAGTAAAGGCCTCTTTGCACCGCGTTTTCTTTCAGAAAGGAGCTTGGGAAAAAAAACAGAAGAGTTAAAATCAAAACAGTCTTTGGTCAGAGCAATGAGGTGACATTTTGATGAAAACTTTGCTTGGTCAGCAACCTTATCATTAGTACTTTCTGGATGTGGGCTAATTTTTTTTTTTTATGAGACCTCAATAACAGTAGTAAGAGGGAAAAAAAGCCAGCTTATGATTTCTAACGAACACACTGAACACAGCTAAATATTTGTGACTACAACTACCACAGAGAATCAAGAAGTGAAAATAACATAACAAAAAAATCTGTTACAGTGCTGATTCAAGCTGGCCATAAGCAGCTTTCAATCATGACTTCGATTACCGAGGTCACTGGACCAGACAAATATTCTTATTCTCTGGAACATATGCCTCAGATCACAAAAACTAAGATGACTGACTGCCACAGAGATTTGGAGCAGCTCTGTTCCTGGGTCTGCACAATGCTATGATGAATGTTATGTGATGAAGGCAAAAGTAAAACTGTGATTTCATTTATATAGTCACAATTCTTTGCGTATATGGTCCATAGAATAACATTCTTTTCAAACAATATAGTACATATTTCCTGAAAACCAGAATACTGATACTACCTTAGTTTCAAATAGAAGGAAATATCAACTAGAACTGCTAAAGAAGGCACATAAACTTTGGTCCTGTTTTGTTTTTTCCCCCCTCCATAATGCCCACCCCCCTCCCCCCATTCAAAACTAGTATTTTTGTAACTTTCTAGTTTTTAAACCATTCATAACAAGCCATTAGAATTTGCTCTGGAAAGACCGCAAATAATCTTGTAGATAACAACACAATTCTTTCAAGACAACTAAGTTCCATTTTCTTTAAAGGAAAAAAATTTGTGCAATCTAACTTCATTTATTTTAGCACAATAGTAGAATATTTTAAGTCCGGCAGTTTTATTCTTAACAACAGAACAAGACAAAAAAATGCTAAGAAAATGCTTTTACACATAGTCATACTGTCTTTCATTGTTTTGATTTAAAAATAGCAGTACGTGTTAGGTTTTCTAAGAGGCTTATAGTTTGGCAAAGTTGGACTTTTATTTAACTTACTCAAGTGACTCACGGGGACATCTGTCCTAAAACGTTAGTGGGAATGGAAGAAAAATTGCGTGGTAATATGTTCTAGGTATAAATCTTCCTGCCTAATGACATGGAAGCTCTGAAAGTTATACAAAACCTGAGCAGAGATATTCATGAGCTCCCTCTAATCATCTGTCGCAGAACCTAGCTAGGTGGAGCCGAAGAAGCGCTTCCATAAGAAATAAGGCAGACACTCTCTCTAAAAACAACTTTCAGAAACATTAATACAAATAATTAAAGATTTAGTCTTAATGAATTTATGGCATCCTGTGGAAGCAACTGGATAATTCTGATATTCTCCAATAAGTTACTAATTAGGGTACTAGTTCATTTTCCTATTTGAATCTCACATAAAACACACTTTACTGTAATGCAAATTATTAAAATCTCAAAGTAAAAGTCTTGCCAAAAATTGCTAGTCTTAAGCATGTACTGCTATTTTTTTTAAAGTCCTGAATATATGTATTTTACACTATGTGTAAAAGCCAAGATACCTCCAAAAGTTATGAGACAATACTTTGTAAGATAAAGTAAATAAGCTTAACAGCAAAAATAAAATAATGCTTTGGAGATTAAGAATAATACATGCCAAACATATACAAAGACCTAGTTTTTCCACTACCCTGAAGTCTTTTTTACAGAAATCATGCTAACACAAACACTGCGGATCTCTATAATTCAAACAGCAAACATACCAAAGTGGACATCCACATGATATAGCTAATTTTAGACAAAAACTGATGGTTTCAAGCACACAATTTCAAACAAGAAAACCTCACTTTCTCAAATCTTGATGTTCTTTGTCAATAAATTAAAATGTAATGTGCATATGTATGTACAACATTAGACGAGTGTACGTATGCATGTATATACACTTATCTACACACAAACACGCGCACACACACACACACATACACAAATCCCTGAAAAGGATTCAAATGTTCTGTTAGATTTAAAGGCCATTTCCTACTTCAAAACTATATTCAACACTATTATGATCTCCCTTCTGCTACACTATGCTACAATTGTACTAAATGCTAAGAGAATAATGAATTAAAATTACAACAGTAAATCCTAACTCAAAGTAAATGAACTAATCCAATTAACATGCCACTGAAAATTTTAATCATGCTTATATAAATAAATGTGGGAGATTTCTCATAGATATTCCCCACCCTGAACCCCTCGCTTGCTTTTCTCAGTGCTTTGGTAAAAATACATTTCCCAAGTGAATAGTAACTAGACAAATTCGTATATCAATTCAGTGAACACTAAAACTGATCTATCTGAAAGATCTCGATCTACCTTTCTGTTCCCCCTCTTGCTGCTTAGTGAATTGTTTTCTCAAACAACCTATTAAAATTCGTAATCTTCAACTTTCTTGTTTAATTTTTAGAAAGACTTTCCTGCATTCAAATTAACAGCTGAAATACAGCAGAGATTTGAGATATTACTTTAAAAGGTGAGATGAGTCACTCTAAGAATCTGAAAAGTATAAAAGGAGTGGACAAAAATAACCCTTTTGACAAACTATTAAAAAAAACCTAAGCACTTAAAAGTGAACAAAAGCATAAAGTTCCTCTTTAAAAAAGAATCATACAATCACTGAAGTAACATTAAAGTGTACTCTTACATTCAATCCAAGGTGTGAGCAAGAACCCAATTTCTCATACTCCATGTATGTGGGCACTGAGTAATGAAGTTATATTAACAACAAAAAAGGCAAGTTATCACGTGAGTTAAGAGGAAACAACAAAACAAAGCAAGTAATCCTGAGACAAGTTCTTACAATGATAAGGATTAGACAAGGTTCAGAAACCGAGATTGCATTTTGCAAGTGTACACTGGACCTGGCAGTGACTGCTCTTGGTCCTAATGCGGAGATGTCTGTCTACAGGTGTGCACTGAGTCATTCCCCAGACCTTTCACCCTTCCCCTTTCCCTGCCCCGTCTCTGCACGAAGCACCAAAAATTTGAAGACTCTTACTGAAAATCTTTTAAAGTTGCAATGAAAGTAACTTTAAAATCCTCACCAAAAAAGGGAGAAGACAAAAATCCAAAAAGACAAAAATCGCTCACCAAGCCCACATATAGCTTTCAAGATACTTAAAATCCTAACCTATCATTTCATAAGCACGTAATAAGGCACGTAAGAAATTAAGTAAATACACAGTAATTTTGAATTAAGTATTAGAGATTATAGTGGTACAAAACCCTTGAGATTAATTTTTTTTCTAAAAGAAGACCTTACCAAAAATAACTTTTAAAAAATCTGTCAAACCATATGATAGACCTGAATATTTTTCCTTAAGACTGTAAACTTTTTTTCTGAAAATAATTATTAACAAGTAGTTTATAAGGATTCTTTTCTTTTAAAGTTTTCAAGACCACGTTATTCAGCAAATAAGTATCATTCTGAAATTTGCCACATGATTCTCCTAATAAAATCATTACCTATGCTGACCCTCTAACAGATCCTGGTTGGAGTCCACTTATTTTCCCTGGGGACAGCTGAGACACTTCATTTCTCCATAGAGTCGTAAAAAGTTGAAACATATGCAGTATTCACAGGAGTGTCTTACAGTGGGGGGAAAAAAAGAACCACTGGAAGAAAACATGCAATTTTATAAATCTGCTTCCAATATAATTCAATTTATGTATAATAATTAGCAACATATGCCTAATGACTGACGCAATTTATAAGTGAACACAATTTTCGTTAGGGATCAAACTTCTAAATCACCAAGTTAAAAACCTGATTGTAAATAATTTAAAAAGTGTATCTGCTTAAATTTTTCAAAGTACAAAGGAGTTTAGAAATGCTGTGTAAGGCAAATCTGGACCCAAACTGAAAGAAAACCTGTCCTCTTAAAATCCAATTTAACAGAAGAAATTCAATTATTGGAAAAAAATTTTTTTGATGGTTATTTTCATAGAAATTATGGTACAAAGAAACAAGATTTGGATCACATACTGGTAGGGGGAATAGTTGGTAAAAAGAATATCCCTTGTTTGTTTGTTTTTAATATACTTGACTATCGAACAAACTCTGAAAGTTAATTTCTGTGAAAGAGGCAGAATTGGTCTTGAGTTGCTTAAGTCTGTGTGTGAAAGGTTCCTGAAATTATGGTCCAGTCCTAGAAGAAAAATTCACAGAAAGTCAGATGGTTGATTTTGAGAAGGAAACTCTGAGGTGGTGATTTTCTCCAAGGTCGTGGTTATGAAGCTCAATTAGGGCTTGGATTGCTTCTTCCACAGATCCCAACTGAATGAGTGCCATTTTGCGATCTTTCCTAGAAAAGGTAAAAGAAAAAAACCACGTATATACACACAAAAATAGACAAAGACACGCACCGACACACAGAATTAAATCTGCTTAGTTTCCCTCTATTATAGAGTCACCCTAAAATTTTGCATGCCATATTAAACAAAATTAATGTAGGCCTTAAAAGCATGGACTTACTGGAAGAATTTAAAAGCTTTCACTGTACATCCTGCTTCTGTGAAAAGGTTCTTCAGATCATCCACTGTAACAGAAGGGCTGTGAAAACATCAGAGAGAATATCAACTGTCTCAGCTCTCATTTTTAAATGAAGCAAGGAATAACTTTTGCAATCACCAAACTTCCAGATCATTTCACATTTTAAAGCAAATAATTAAGCCAAACAACACAGGTAGGATTTGGAAGTAACTGAAAGGTGTTTAAGGCTTACACAAATACACCGTCAATGGAATTTTTGTTTATTTTTGTGCCACACTTTGCAGTGTGCGGATGTTACTAATGGTATGTGACACGGGAAAACCATCTATTTCCCAGGATGGAACTCAGGCCTCCTGCATGCAAAAGCAGCCCTTCAGCCATCAACCTGGCCCATCAACAGAATATATCCCAAACATCCTCATAAGATATGGGCGTATAAAATATCTGTGTTCTTTCAGAGAATACCACTGATTCTAGTAGGTCCAAAGTTACTTTTCCTAGCTAGCTCTGTTTGTTTAAACCAAGGTCATACATTTCAAACAGTTTCAAGGAAACTAAAAATTGTACAGGTGATGGGGGTGGGAGGGATATTATCCATGGTGGTGGAAAATGGGCACTGGTGGAAGGATGGATATTTGATCATTGTATAATCGAAACCCAAGCACAAAAAATTGTAAATCTACAACTGTACCTCATGGTGTTTCACTAATAATAATAAAAAAAAATTGTACAGGTGGTGTCCAGGCACTGAAATCATTACCAATTACCCTTGTCCTCCCAAGTAGTTACGCCTTCTAGGCCTAACTTCTAGAATAGTTCTAGAATAGAATGGAACTTCTCCCACAGTGAGCAGGGGTGTCTTCTGCAACCCGCAGGCTGGGTGGTGGTACTGGGGATCAAAGGTATGTGGTCTACCACAGGTCATACCCCTGATATTAAGCCACATCATCCCCAGTCCACCTGTCACTTCAGAAGCACTTATGTAAACCATGGTCTTTCTCGAATACTTAGCTCGGAAAGAAAGCAACTGCTATTTATTGAGGACATCTGAACAACCATATGAGAAGAAACAATCATATGAGAAAGTGTGGCAAGCTACTGAGATCTCCTGCCAACAACTGGCATATGAGTGAGCCACACTGGAAATGAAATCTTTAGCCCCAGCCTTCAGATGCAACCTTAGAAGAGATTCTTCACCAAAATAACCTCACTCAACCACTTCTGGATTCCTCACTCAAAGTAATAGTGCAAGTTAATGAACTTTTAATGAATTAAGCTGTTAAATTTATGCAGCAACAGGCAATTAATTGTGTCTGATCACGTGAGGTTCAACTGACTAAAAGCAGACTTTATGCCTTTTCTTATGAGTGCAAGCAGGGACGGTAGAGTAGAAGAAATAGCTCTGCAAGGAGAAGGAATGAATGAATATCCCTCATTCATCTGGTTTATCGCTCTGGGTAACTTGTGTGTAAAAAAATTTTTGACCGAATTCATAGATGCACTTTTTTTTTTGGCTTACCTTATAGAAAAAGAAAAGCAATTAAAACAAAAGGTAAAGGCCCTCCCGTTGATCGTCGATTTGCTCGAGCGGGCCCAGTAACGTCTCCATTGGAGACTTTGTTGTTACTGTGTCTGGCATAATTCGATATGCCAATTAAAACAAAACAAAACAAAAAACTATGGTTGGTTCTTACTTCTACAAAGGAGATGAGCACGTACATCTCAATGGATTATTTCTGCATTCAATTATTTTTGTGTCCTGTTGCAACTGAAAGGTGAAAGTAGTTGCTAACTACTTTTGGATAGCGGAAGACAAACCAGTCCTAGTCCTGTCTTTCACTTTTGGCTATATACTGAAAATGCAACCCTCTTAAGACATAATGCTAAATAAGCCATCTCACAAAAACTGCAAAGCTGTAATAATTTCAGGGTTTTAAACTTCTCCTAAACTATAAACTGTAGATTATTAATCATTTAATGAATAGTAGATACATACGGGATGTTGGAAAGATGCAACGTGGCTGATGGTGGAAAAATATTCTGGAAGTTTTTAGAGCCAGGTTTTTTAAAGCGATGCAAAGGACTATTGCTAAAATCCTTAGTCAGACCCTGGTCTTCTTGTCCCTCCCGAGGAAGCTGAACTGCTTGATGCTTGGAGAGTGTAGCACGAAGCACTTTTCCATAAAGTCTCTGCCCACTCAGATGATTCATTGCTAGTACAGAGGAAAAAACAAGGAAAATTTAGCTAGTAGATCTCTGTAATATTTGTGTGAACTATCAAATGCGGCAGTTTAAAGGTTAAAATGGTTTTAAACCCAAATCTTCCATATGGGAATATATTAAATGAGTCTGTCTTACAGAGAAAGAAAAACAATCAAAACAAAACAAAACAAAAAAAACAAAAAAAAAATCTTCCTAGTATAGAGCCGGGTAATTCCAGAGTACCTTGAATACAATACTCAGGAAATGGTTTCTAAAGAAAATAGTTTAATATCAAACAAAATGATTCTTTGTTTGTTTTAAACCCCACTAGCTCAGGGCTTTCTCCTGTCTCTGCACTCAGGAATTATTCCTGGCAGCGCACAGGGAACTATAGGGGATTCTGGGGATCGAACCTGCATCAGCTGCATGCAAGACAAGCACCCTACCCACTGTACCATCTTTCCAGCCACCACTCCCCACCCCCCAACCTTTCTATTAAAAATAAAAATCTAGTGTTTCAGAAGCCACCACTATGGTAACGACAAGGAAGGTCATGGGACATTTTCATGGAATAATCCCGGTCATTATAAAGCATGTCCCAACTTTCACGACATACAACAGCTCTAGAAAACTTGCTTTGAAAGGAAAACAAGACAAGTCATGCATTACACGTACTGGAAAAGACCCCTGGCAAAGCTCTGAACAGCAACAATCTGTCTACCAAGAGAAACGAACCTCAGACCTCCAAATCTTACAAATGTGAGCTTTAAATAACAAGGCATCCACCAAAATAAATTAGTAAATAAATAAATAAAAATGCATCAGCATAAAGATAGGGTCCCGGAAATCACTATTTCTATTAGCTATAGGTTTGTTTATAGCACTGAAGCACTGTCTTCCCGTTGTTCGTCGATTTGCTCAAGCGGGCACCAGTACCATCTCCATTGTGGGACTTACAGTTTTTGGCATATAGAATATGCCACAGGGGGGCTTGCCAAGCTCTGCCGTGAGGTTTGTTCATAGGAACATAAAACGTAAAACACAAACATGGCACGGGCTGTCATCATCATCACCATCACCATCATCATCCTCATTACCTAGTTGAGCTTGATTTGCATCTGCCATCTGAACCAGTGCATTTTCTTTCTTATTAAACATAATCTTCACTCGGTGTACGTCACCATATACTCCTAATAAATAAGAGAAAACAAGTTTTTAGTGTCTGCTTATGAAATGTTTAATTTTATCAATATATCTAACGATGCTTATATATAAAGATGCTTCTTTGCCAATACATATACTTTTCCTAGAAAGCTTCATATCTATGTTCTCAATTTTCTATAGTTTTGACCTGTTACTTCTATTCACCTCTTTATGTGTTATGAATGCTTCAGATTTAGTCTGGCCCAAACGAATTCATCTCCTATCTCCTTTCCCTGCTTTGTATTCCTTAACACTGTTGATAAACAGCACCATCGTCCGCATATTTGCTGGACTAAGTCACCTGGGAATCATCGTTTTGTCTTTTCCCTCTCCTAAATTCTTTTTTTTTTTTATTTTGTGCTTGGGTTTCAGTTATACAATGATCAAGTGCCCATCCCTCCACCAGTGCCCGTTATCCAACTCAACCACCAGTCCCATTGATTCTATAGCATTAATCTCATTATCTGTCCAATTCTTCTCATCCCCTCTACCATCAAAGCCATCATTATCATTTCTTCTGTTTGGGGGCCCTATCCTACCAGTGTGGTTCTATGCTCTTTTATTTAAAAGAAATTTCATTTGCGGCACTGTGATTTACAAAACACTTACTGATAGGATTTCAGGCTATTTCTTTGAAACTGAGAAACAAAGCCTATTAGACTATTAGAGAGTCTGGAGACTATTTTTAAAATCTGAATCTCGTTATGCCTCTTTCCTCGATGGCTTCCTGTCATTCTTAGGTGAAAAAACCCAAGCTCCTAAACACATCTTACAAAGCTATTTGACCTTGCCACTACCCATCTATCTGTCTAGCTTTCAGGTTCCCTTCACTTCCTCGATCTAGGAGCTCTCTTAGCACTAGTTCTTTCTTACTGCTAGTGTCAGTGATAGGCATTTGCCCTCTGTCTATGTGGCTAACTAGCTCATTTTTCACACGAGAGCTTAACAATCATTTCTTTTTTATTTTTTTTTTTTTTATCCCTCATGCTCTTCAATGTTACTGCAGCAATCAGAGTTTATGTGCACATCTGCCTGTGGAAACTGCACATTCAGCTCTGGTGCTTTCTGGAGTCACAGAGTAAGCTGCGATGCTTGTTACTCTTGGTGAGGCGCACAGGAATTACTCCTGGCGGTGCCTGGGGGACCGTATGAGAAGCTGTGGATCAAGCGAGGCAAACGGCCTACCCGAGATACTATTGGTGTGGCCCCTGTACGCCCCTTTAATAGTGTTTATACACACCTGCTATGGTGTGGCTGGAAACTGCAGGCAGCACCAGAAACTGTAAGTAGTAAAGCTACCAGGCTCAACAAATAGTAGAGTTGCCAGGATCTCACTCTGTGCCTGCAGAACACTTGGGATTTGAACTTGGTCACTTGAAAGGCGGTCTCCCTAAAGTCACTGTGGTACTCCTCTGGGCCTTAAAAACATTTCTATAGGGCTGGAGCCATAGTACAGTGGATAGGGTGTTTGCCTTGCACTCGGCCAAGCCGTGTTCAATTCCCAGCAGCATCCCATGTGGTCCCCTGAGCACTGCCAGAAGTAATTCCTGAGTGCAAAGCCAGGAGTAAACCCTGTACATCACAGGGTGTGACTCAAAAAGAAAAAAAAAATTCTATGGATATATCCCTTTGATTCCCTCAGCATATGCTCCCATTATCCCTTATTTTCCTTCTGTTTAAGACTTCATTGTAATTCTAATTTCTATCAAGTATTACTTGCTATTCTATTCTCAGCATCAAGCACATTACATGGCACACAGAGATCACAAATGACTACTGATAATGGCAGGTGTTCAGGCCACATCACAAATATTAAGAACAAAAACAACTTACCAAATAGGATAAAAAGTCCATGTGGTGTGATAAGCTGTTTGAAAGGAAAACACGAAATTTAAGTGTATCATTTAAGTAAAACTTTTAGTTTTTACCTAAAACCAACACCAGAATGACAGCTGACTTTGTCACAAACACTAACTGTATGTTTCTCCTATACAGTTGTCCCTTGTTGTCTGAGAAGGACTGGTTCTAGCACTTCTGCAGGATACAAATCCTCAAGTTCCTTTTATGACTGGAGGAGTAACTGCCTAAAACCTGCATGTATTCTTTCTTATGCTTCAGATTACCTCAAGATTACTTATAGCACCTAACACATGTGAATACATATTTGGCTGTTATTATATTGTTAAGGGAATGATGACAAGAGAGAAAATCTTGTCATTGTTAGAGAAAGTCCAAAATAAATGCAACTAATGAGGGTCTGACTAAGAAGTTCAGATTTCCTACCCTTTGTCGGAGTCTGTGAATATGTACAGGATGACAGTCACAGTAGTGAATTTTTTTCAGTTTTCTTTGGTGAGAATTCCCCAGGAGTACTGGGTCCACAAGGGGTTTTACCCAATGAAGCGCAGGAGATCATGTTGAGTCCAGACCAAAAGTTACCTACCCTTCCCATTCTCAAAAGACTATTTTAATATAATACTTTTCAACTCACATCAGGATTGAGATTTGTGACAAGTAGAACAGAATTTCCTGGAATCCCACCAGTCCCAGGAATGGCCATTCTTCCAGTGACAGCAGAGGAGGCAATGGTGAGAGGACCGAGCCCTCCAGGGACAGCAGGGACTGAGAGGCCTTTGAAAAACATCAAAGAATTTTACATTCTAGTTACATAAATAATTATAACATTTCACAAAACTTAAGTTAATCAAAAAGAAAGCAAAATTATAAAAAATTGTTATGTCATAGCTAACAGAAAGAGATCAAAGCTAGTTTGACATTATCATAGCTGGTATTTAAATAAAAATAGCATTTTTGTGTGTGAAGCAAGGTAGTTTTTATTAAACAAAACTTGCTTAGATGTGAGGAGAGACAATGAGAAAAATGTGGTCCAAGAGAGAGAACACAGGCTTCTCCAGAGTATTAATAAGCAAGCATAGAAACAGACAAGCAAGCAAGATACGCGTCTGAGGGAGAAGAGGGGTTTGAAGAGCAAGGGAGGTATTATTTACACAGTTCTGTACACACCAACCAACCTCACTGGTCTTCAAATCCATTAGGCTTTTCGGAAGATCAACTAAAAGCTTTCTTTCTGCTTTTTTGGAAAATATATTCCAGTACATTTCTATAAAGTAGGTACAATTTTTATTTTTATTTCTACCATAAAATCAGATTATAAAAAATTCTTTCGGCAGAGAAAATATTCTTACATGTACACTACACAGTGCTCTAAGATATTCTGTTTGGAAGAAGCATTGTGTAGCCTTGTGAAGTATAATATAAACATTATTATAATCAATGCTAAGATTGACAGCTATGAATTCAATATTCTTTTGTAGCAAGAATTTTCAGAGTTTTTGTGCTCTCTAATACTGAAGAACTACTGCAAATTCTAGAATACTGAAAATATGGACACTATACGTTATACTATACACTATACTTAAAACTTTCTCAGATGTTCTTGCGAACTGTGGTCAGAGCTTGAAAAAAAAATAAATGTAAAGGGCCAAGGAGACTGCTTAAAGGGCTAACGCACATATTTTGTACCTAGGAAGCCTGGATTTGAACCCCAAGAGAACTGAGCTGGGAATGACTTCTGAGTTTAGAGAAATTGTCCCCAAGCACCTCTGTGTATGGGCCCCAAATAAAACAATTATGAAGCAAAGATCTCCAGTTTGTATAAAATAAAGCAGTTTCTTAAATTTATAGATTCTTTAGCTCAGAAGTGCTTATAATAAAGTCTAATCATTTTACCACAAGTCATGTAATTACAATATAGTTTACAGGTAGCCTCTGCTGCTTGATAATCTAATAAATTCATCACTACCATGATCTAGGCTGCTGAGCGATGTGGTGCAGGACACCTTCCCAGGCTGGATGCAGTTCATAAAATCTATTATCAGTAGTAATTTCCCTGGCCTCATCCCGGTTCCTCCAACCCAACCTTACAACTTTTGGAGATCTACTACATACACTTAGCACAGTGGATAGGGCATTTGCCTTGCACGCAGCCAACATGGGCGACCCGAGTTCGATTCCTCCGCCCCTCTCGGAGAGCCCGGCAAGCTACCGAGAGGATCTCGCCCGCACGGCAGAGCCTGGCAAGCTCCCCGTGACGTATTCGATATGCCAGACACAGTAACAACAAAGTCTCCAATGGAGACGTTACTGGGCCCGCTCGAGCAAATCGACGAACAACGGGAGGGCCTTTACCTTACCTTTACTACATACACTTAAGAGCAATGCTTTGGGAGTGTGTGTGTGTGTGGGGGGTGGGGGGGTGGGGGGAGGAGTTGTGAGGGAGACGCTGAGAACCATGGTGGAGGGAGAAACAGAAACGGGAGAGCTACACTCATGACAGAGAAACAGAAAGGTTACACTCATGACACCCGACCAATAACAGTATTGTAAAACTCAAGTAGAGTGAACTGAAATGGCAAAAAAAAAAAAGAGTAAATCCAAGTAACTGGCGAGATCGTGTAAGGGTGAAGGAACACGCCTGCCTGTGGCTGTTACTTCGATGGCACTGCAGTTGCCTCAGCAGAGTGGGAGCAGTGCCTGCTGTAATTAATACCAGGTGTGTTCTCCACCAAAAACAGCTAGGCTGTAGGATGGATACAGGTATGTGTGCATGCATGGGGTATATGTGTATATACTTTTTACTCTATTGGACCTGAAAAGGCTTATCAACTTAGAAGCATTCGTGTTCTTCGTTGTGTGTGGGGGGCTACGCTCATGGCTGTGTTGAAGGTTCACGCCTAACAGTGCTCTGGGAGCGAACTGAAGTTAGTGGCATGAAAAGCAAGTGCCTTCATCCCTGTACTCTATCTCCAGGCCCCAGAAGAACTCTTTATGCATTCAAAAAGATTTCCCTCAGGGTTAGAGAGGTAGTACAATGGTTAAGGTGACTCATTTTTGATTCCTGCAAGTCCTTGGCACTGTCAGGTGAGGCCCGAAACTAAAACAAAAAACTTTAGCTCAGGTATGCTGTTTTCTACAAAGACGGTATGAAAATGAAGTATCTAACTATTACCTTTAAAAGAGAACCAATGAAACTGTTGAGAACTTAAAAAAAAAACCTTATGTTTACTGCCCATACTATAATGGAATATGTAAAATATTTACACATGTTAGTTATCTTAATACCCACCAAAAACTAGAACTTCAAAGTTATCATTCCCCCTGCCCCCCCCCTTAATATTTTTTGGGTCAATGCTCAGGGGTTACTCCTGGCTCTGCTCTCAGGAACTACTCCTGGTGGGGCTTGGGGGACCAAGTGGGATGCCGGTGACTTAACCAAGGTGGGCTGTGTGCAAGGTAAACGGCCTACCTGCTGTCGTATCTCTCAACACAGCCTCGTCAAAGAAAGAACAGTCAGGGGGTATGGTGCTGCCTGCAGGTCAATCTGTACCTGTGAGGCGAGTGCACCAGTAGCCTGATGGCGCCTTCAGACTCCAGATACCCCAAAATTGCTGCTGTGCCTTTGGCCAGACCCCAAAACTTGGGGCAAAGTTTACCAAGAAAGTAAATGGTCAAAAGTTAGGTATGGCTCAGCTATATAATTGGAGGCAAGGCCTCTCTGGTTCCTGATCAAATTGCTGAAACAGCCATGATCCCAGAGACTCAGAAACAAAATCTCGGAACCCAGTAGCTTTTGGTGCAGAAATGTGCTTGGTCCCCACAGTAGGTTACCGGCACCAGGGCCACCCAGGGGGAAAGGGTGCTATCCCTCCGCCTGTTCCCTCCTGGTGGCCCGGTGACCATCATCCTCCATAGGTCATTGGACAGTCAGGTTGAGCCCGCAGTGATGAGAAACGTGGGGTCTCACGAGATGGGGGTGGAGGTGGCCCTTTCCTCCCTGCTCCAAAGAAACCCCCGAGTCCCGCCTACAAACGGCCTCTCTGGCTCCTAATCAAGCTGCTTAACGGCCATGATCCAAGAGACCAGAAACAAATCTTGGACCCGAGCAGCTTTTGGCAGAAATGCATCCGGTCTCCGCAGGACGTTACCAGTGCTGGGCCACCCCAGGTGGAAATAGGTTTTGTGATTTGGCCTGTTTCTCCTGGTGGCACGGTGGTCACCATCATCCAAAGGCCATTGGACAGTCAGGTCTGGGCCCTCGGTGACAAGACATGTAGAACCTCATGGGACGGGGGTGGAGCCGGCCCTTTCCTCCCCGCCTCGAGGCCCCGGGTCCCGCCCACGAACAGCCTCCCTGGCTCCTGATCAAGCTGTTTAACGACCATGATCCCAGAGACTCAGGAACAAATCTTGGAACCCAGCAGGTTTTGGCAGAAATCCCTCCAGATTTAATTGTTAAAATTTTGGAATCCCCAAATCATGTGACTACTACTGTGGCCACGTGACATCACATGTTATTTATAATCAGCAATAGAAAACAAATTGTCTACTGTTGCCTTTTTGGCAGATCTAAATGTTGGGGTAAAATCCCAAATAATAATGGTGGGTCTGGTGTCAAAATATTGAATGTAATCAAAGTAGAGGGAGAGTAATGTGGAAATCATCTACCCCACAAGTAGGGGGAGGGTATGAGATGGGGGGTATACTGGGGTTTTTGGTGGTGGAAAATGGGCACTGGTGAAGGGGTGAGTGTTTCATCATTGTATGACCAAGACTTAAATCCGAAAGCTTTGAAACTGCTCTCACGGTGATTCAATAAATAAATTTATATATAAAAAATACTATCTCCAGAATTAGAAAGATGAAATAAAAATATTACAAAACGAAGAACAATCATCTGCATTCCACTTTAAAATACAGTTACGTTCACAAATCAGCTGGAAGTTGGAAATGTAATATTTAAAAAAAGGTTTGATACTACGCTGCCCTGTGAATCACCAACCTCAAATATTTCCTTTAGGGGTATCAGATAAAATCAGAAAGTAAATTTTTAATCCCAAAGTAATGATCAAATTCATTGTTTACTATCTGAAAGGAGAGTCACTATCAAACTATCAAGACTTTTTATGTCTTAATCATCTACATTAGGTAAAGAAAAAAAATCCATTATATAAAAAGTATGCACTGCTATGGTAAATTTCTAAACCCATAAATAACTGGGGGGAAAAAAAGGTTTTATGAATAAGGTGATAATAAATGCCTATTAATTAAAACAATTACTCGTGGATACGATGTATCAAAGGCACTAAGAATGCAGGTCCATTCAAATTGTAAATGATGAGCTTGTTAGCGAAAATAAAAGCAGCTCATATATTTTATATAATAGGCACATTTGTTTATTTAATATAGTCAACCTATAGTTATTTGTTTCAATGACAAGTATAGAAGATATAGAACATGTAACAAAATTATTAGGACTGAGAGCAGAACTGGAAGAATTAGTTACAAATGCATGCAGAGTGGGGCCAGAGCAATAGTACAGTGGGTAGGGCGCTTGCCTCGAACGTGGCAGATGCTAGAATTGATTCTAGCATCCCTTATGTCCCTCTGAGCCTACCAGGAGTGAAAAAAGCACCAGGACTGAGCCCTGAGCACTGCCAGGCTAGAACCCTCCCCCAAAAAACCCAAAACTATACCATACAATGGTTACTATACGTAATGGTTTCATTATAAACTCTTCAAGTATGGTAATTTTAATAAGTTCATACAAAACATTATTTAAAAACATCATTAAAAGATCATTTCCACTGTTCACTGTCCTCCCATTGTTCATCGAGTTGCTCGAGCGGGCCCTGTAGTAACATCTCCATTGTGAGACTTGTTGTTACTGTGTTTGGCATATTAAATACATCACGGGTAGAATATAAGAGCGTTAGAAAAGATGAAGTTATGAAATTTACATACAAGTGGTACTACATGGAAAGTATCATGCTAAGCGAAATGAGTCAGAAAGAGAGGGATAGACATAAAAAGACTGCATTCATCTGGGGGACATAAAGTAACAAAATAGGAGATTAATACCCAAGAATAGCGGAGATCAGTACCAGGAGGATTACTCCATGGCTTAGCGGCCAGCCGGGCATTCTAGGGGAACGGGCAGGTCAGATAGAGAAGGGAGCACCAAATAAAGGGTGTTTGGAGGATCCTCCCAGGAGGGGAGATGCATGTTGAAAGTAGACTATGGACTGAACATGATTGCCACTCAATGCCTCTTTTGTAGACCACAACACCCAAAAGGAGAGAGAGAACAAAAGGGAATGCCCTGCCACAGAGGCAGGGTGGGATGGGGAGGATGGGGGTGGGAGGGATACTGGGATCTATGGTGGTGGAAAATGGGCACTGGTGAAGGGATGGGTATTTGATCATTGTATAATCGAAACCCAAGCTCAAAAATTTGTAAATCTACAACTGTACCTCATAGTGTTTCATTAATAAAAATTAGAAAAAAAAAAAAGAATATAAGAGCGTTACCTGCTGCTTGAGGAAATCCAATGGCTGGGGGAAATCCAGCAGTCCCAGCATATGGTGAGGAAATGATACCTGGTGCACCTAATGGAGAAAAGACATTAATTTATATATATATATATATATATATGTATATCCTTCATATATATCCTTCTATAAATATGATTGTCAATACAACGTACAATAGCTATGAGGGACTACTGATACATTGCTATGAAATTAATAATTTGTTTAACGGTGACCTTAATGTTATACCTCTGTTCTTTTTTCTTTTTTTAGGGTGGAGGGCACAACTGGCAGTGCTCAAGGCTTTCTCCTGGCGCTGCAATCAGGGATCACTCACTCCTGGCAGGCTCAGGGGACCATACAGGGTGCCAAGGATAGAACCTGGATCCGTCCCATATAATTGCCCTACCTACTGTACTATCACTCTGGCATCAGCTAACCTCTTCCAACTGGGTTCAATGTTCAAAAGCGCAACTAAGCTGTACTTCAGTTGAGATTAGGTAGAGATTCTTACCCTCAGACCACTGTATTTATGAGAAAGTATCAATAACTTATAAAGGTATACTGACCTATGAAATGTGCTAATAAGAAACATGAATTACAAAAAAAACAGCAGAAGGGTTAAGAAGCTTGCCTTGCCTATGGCTCACCCTGGTCCAATTCCTTAAAACTACATGTTTCCTGAGAACCACCAGAAGTTACCTCTGAGCACAGAGCCAGGAGTAAGGCCCTGAGTATAGCTGGATGTGGTCCCAACACAAGAATAGTTTTCCTCTGGAGAGTAATCAAATTTATGAATTACAAGACTCATTTCCATGCTGGGATATAGTGGTTTATATATAAATGTTTTGTATGTGGCTAAAGAAGGAACCTGTATTGGTAGTGATCGGGCTTCTCAGGACATGAAACTTGAGCGAGACATCACATATTTGAAAACCATGTATTAAAAAAGTGTGTATTAGATGTCAAATGATTGTTCTCTTTCTTTTTAGAAGATTGGGGACTGTGTATCATGAGAAAAAAGAAGCTAACTATGTGCGGGGAGCCCTGCCAGACCACTCTCTGTCTGCGGAGGTGGCCCTAGGATCCGTAGGTGCTGGGAAGGACCGACCGAATGAACACGAGACACAAGAGACAGAATGCAGCTCAGAAACAGAGAGAAAAAGGGACAGGACTTTATTGGGGGCAATCAGGGTATATATCCATTAGTGAGGCAGCTACACAAAAGGTCGTGCCCATATATGGTTAGGAAGGTTTGTTTTCACCTATCATGCATTACAAGGTTTATGTGTATCTGGTACCAAACACGAGGTGATTACACAAAGGCCATGTCCATATGATTTACCAGACATGAGGTAGATACACAAAGAGCCATGTCCATATGATTTATAAAATTTACATGCATCACGTACCAGACACGAGATAGTTACTTCTTGTTATTACTGACAGCCATGACAGATGTTCTCTCAGGATAACCATACATCAAGATGACCATACATAGCACAGGCTGTGCCTGCCGTGGGGTCGTAGGTCAGGATGACCATACAGGCACTTAGGCCTTGGTTAGTTAAAGGGCCAGCTTCCCACAACTATGGGCATGAAAATATTAGTAAAAAAAAAAACAACTTGGGTTTTGAGCTGGGAAGATGGCTTGAATCACTGTAGCGTCCACTTTGATGCTTGGAGTCCTGGATTTGATTCCTGACACCACACGATCCCCTGAGCACTGCCTGGAGGGACTGAGTAATTTGTAAGCACTGCTGAGTGAGGTATTCAGACAAAATAAAAAATGGAAGAGAAATAATTTGGTTTTGGACATGTCAAAGTTGAGGAAATAGTATGACTAAGGGAAATGCCTAGAGTGAAAATCAGATGGTGATTCAGAATGAATGCTTTAAGGAGAGATTTGTAAATTATCTACATAGAAATAAACATGCAAAAGATCCCAATGAAAGTCACATGCAAAAGATCCCAATAAAATGGTACAAGACAAAAAAATGGAGAGCTAAAAATGAAACTAGAAATACTAGTATATACATAAGTGGCACAGGGAGAAAGAAAAAAAAAAAACCAGCTTTAGAAAAAAAAAAAACCCAAACCCAGCAAATTACAAGCAGTTCTTCTGTAAGAGAAGCTGAAGCTCAACAGAGGTTAAAGAGAATGGGGACTGGGGGATCGGTAAAGATAGAACTGAATATTAAAGAGCAGGAGGGAGAAAATATTTTTGTGAAAGAAATATGTAGGAGCAAGATCGACAGCACAGTGGGTAGGGCGTTTGCCTTGCACATGGCTGACCTGGATTCGATCCCCAGCATCCCATATGGTCCCCCAAGCACAGCCAGGAGTAATTCCTGAGTGCAGAGCCAGGAGTAACCCCTGAGCATCGCTGGGTGTGACCCAAAAGCAAAAAAAAAAAAAAAAAAAAAAAGTAGACTACATTACTGGGCCCGCGTGAGCAAAATCGATGAACAACGGGAGAACAGTGACAGTGACAGTGACATAGTTTCAAGACTTAAGAACCCACGTTTATCACTGTCAATAAAGATAAACTAAACACAATTTGTTAAATACAGTTATAATTTATAACAATTCAATGAAATATAGTTATTAAGTGATTCCAGAGATACAGCTAACAGAGAGGATAAATGAAGATTAAAAAATGATTAATGAATATGGGAAAGTGAAATCAGTTCCAGACATATGTTCTGAATGCACATATGTGCCAAGCATTTTTCCGGTGCATGAAAAGTGAAAACCAATCAGGATAGCCTATTCCTATTAAATATAAATATCTATTTAACACATATTCTTGTTAGATATAAACTTCAATCAGGCGCAAGCTCAGAGGTAAAAGAATTCACTGGGATCGGAGAGATAGTACAGTAGGCAGGGTGCTTGCTTTGCACACGGCTGGCCTGGGTTCAATCCGTATCATCCCCTATGGTTCTCCTGAGCCCACTCGGAGTAATTCCTGAGTGCAAAGTAAGGAGTAACCCCTGAGCACCACTAGGCACGGCCTCAAACCAAAAAGCAAAAAAATGAAACAACCAACCAAACCAAAAAAAACACGCAAAAAGCAAAAATTCACCCAATAAAAATGAACATTTAAGGCATCAAGGAAGAGACTTTGATATGGACATGAGTAGTTATGAAAGTCAAATTAGCTAAAAATAAAGAGACGGTGGGGTCACAAAGATAGCTTAAAAGGCCAGAGCACACACTTTACACACTGAGACCCAATCTTATCCCTGCATAAGACCCAGTCTTATCCCCCACTCCGTGGTCCCTGAGCTCCTCAGTAGGGATCCCCAAACACCGAATCGGGAGTAGACCCTAAGCATCAACCCACAGCTATGGTGGCGAAACAAAAATAAAATAAAACAAAACAAAAGCGATGGTTGATTGTATTACTGCGGCTAAGTATTCATTTGCTCCTCCTCTAGAAATCCAGCCAGTCAGCTGACTTAAGTGCCTCCTGTGGGAGAAGCTGCGTTTCTATGCAATTCCTACTAACTTAACCACATGACAGACAGCGAGGGCATGACAAACAGTGCTCAGACACAAGCGCTTCAAGGGTTTTTTATATGCTAATGCCAGCTCTCGTATTCCTGATTCTCCGCCACTACCTCGAGTGACACCTTCAGTCTGCAAGCGAAGATGATTCATAGCTGCCTGCACATTACCACATAAGGAACACATTAGTTGCTATAATCCACAGAGACATGGGGGTGGCGTGGAGAGGAAAGACAGGCATTTTTCTTTTCTTTCTTCTTTTTTTGTTTTGTTTTGGGGCCACACCCAGCAGTGCTCCGGAGTGGCTCCTAGTTTTGTTCTCAGTAGTCAGTATAACTGAGTAACTCAGTATAACAGTATAACTCAGCGTAACAGCTAACGCAGTATAACAGTTAACTCAGTAGTAGCTATTCCTGGTGGGCGCAGGGGACCCATATGGGACGCCAAAGATAAAACCTGGGTCAGCTGCTTGCAAGGCAAGTGCCTTATCTGCTGTACTGTATCTCTGGTTCTGAGTCGAATTTTCCAAACACAACAGATAGACCAAAAATGTCTAGAGGAAAAGACAGATGGGATGGAGTGCCCATGGGGGCCCTGGGCGCAATTCCTAAGCTGCACAGTTCTCCATGCATTGCAGAATCCACCCCAGAGCACTGAACTGGAGAATAATCTCAAGCACAACTGACCATAGCTCCTGAACAACAACTACAACAAAAAACAAACAGAGAAGCTTTGGGGGTGCAGGGAAGATGGTGGGAATGTAAAGCAGAAATCCACCAAAACATTTCGAAGAAACAAACAAAAAAACCAACGACTTGAGATAACAATTACAGAAAACTGAACTGCAATAAACAGAAGAATTGGTACACAAATACTAGAGCCAAATTTAAAATCACTGTTTCTAAGTAAACTGTAATAAAGAATTAAAGTTTGGCCAAAATAATATACAAAATCTCCAGAAAGCTATGATCCTCAAAGAAACAGAAACAAATATTTAAGCAAAGTAAAAGACTATGAGATCTCTTTTTACGAAAAGATTATACAAACTTTTCAGGAAAAGGTTTATGGTTTTTCTGGTTTTGATTCACACCTGGTGATGCTTAGGTGTTAGTCCTGGCTCTGCACTCAGATATGAAGTCCTGATGGTGCTTGGAAATCATGTGGGATGTCTAACCCAGCTCGGACACATACAAGGCAACACCTCACCCACTGTGCTACTGCTCCGGTCCATATTTTATATTTGGAAACTATAAATACCAAAATACCAATACAAATTAACAGAAAGCATTTTAAACTAAAATCAATTTATTAGTTATATTTTTTAATAAAAGTCATTTTTGTGTGTGAAAGTACATAAACAAACATTATATATATATATTTTTTTTTTGCTTTTTGGGTCACACCCGGTGATGCACAAGGTCAAGATACCCCTGGCAGTGCTCAAGGGACCATATGGGATGCTGGGAAACAAACCCAGGCTGGCCGTGTGCAAAGCAAACACCCTACCCGCTGTACTATCACTCGAGCCCCATAATTACCCATAATTATCATTATTTTCCATAATTACCACACCATATTTGATGGGGTGCAGACAGTAAGCAACAAATCATAGAGGGAAAAAAATATATATATATACACACCTCTTGGAGAGCCTGGCCAGCTACCAAGAGTATCCCGCCCGCACGGCAGAGCCTGGCAAGATCCCCATGCATTTCAATATGCCAAAAACAGTAACAATAATGGGTCTCATTCCCCTGACCCTGAAAGAGCTTCCAATACAACAAGGAGAAGCTGCTAAAATCTCAGGGCTGGGACGAATGGAGACACTGTTGGCGCCCGCTCAAGTAAATCGATGCACAATGGGATGACCGTGATACAGTGATAAACATATAACCACCAAGTAACGAGATATTACTTTGGGGGAGGGGGGCAAAGAGATAGTACAGTGGGTAGGGGGCTTGTCTTTAATGCAGTCAATCCCTAACATCCCATAGGGTCCCCTGAGCATCACCAGGAGTGATTTTTGAGTGTAGAGCCAGGAGTAACCCCTTGAGCACCACTAGTTTTGGCAAAACAAACAAACAGAAACGAAAAAAAACCAAACAACTTTATCCAGTGTCCAAACAGTGTCTCATCTATGTATTCTGTATTTAAAATGTTCTGCATGTTCATCTAACCACCTACAGATACTCGGTGCTCTTTGTACTCCATTCCCCACTGAAGTTTAACCAGTTTGACGCTTCTGCTAATTCACTGATGAAAGGTCTGGGATTAAGGGGTAAAGTTATCTCGACTATGGGCAAATGCTGCTGGTGACTCAGTATCGGAGTCAGTTTTCCCACAGTGTTTCTTGTATAATAACAAAACTCTGAAGAAACACTCTTTATGTCCCTATCAGACAATGATAAACTAAATCACGAACCATCACCAGACAGCATACAGAGCCATTTAAATATTCAAGAGTATATGCCATGAAAAAAAGCACAATTAAGGCTGGAGATATAGTCCAAAGGGCGAATAATGCGCATGCCAACAGACTGGCATGTGATTTCCAGCAATGCGTGGTCCCTTGAGCACTGCCAGAGTGACCCCCAGAGAAACCTGCCAGTAGTCACTGAGTAGTATTCTTGGGCCATCAGATGTGACCCAAGAACCAAAAGAAGATTAAACAAGAAGCACAACTGAAAAAAAAATTTAATGTAGCACAACAGTGGCAAGGTAACATTTTCTTAGTGCAGAAAATGTCTAATAAAGGGTCAGAGACAAAACACAGAGGTTGAGACACTTGCCATGCACATGTCTGACCTTGGTTCAATCCCTGACGCTGCATATGATCCCCTGAGCATGGCCAGTAGTAATCCCTGAACACACAGGCAGGAATAAGCCCTGAGCACTGCCCCCAAATGAAACAAAACAAAATTAAACTGAAGAAAAATTACACTATGCTCATAGCAGTACTGTTTACAAGTAAAGATCTGGGAAACAACCCAAGTGTCTAAGAACAGATGAGTGGATAAAGAAATCGACTGCACATACACACAATGAAATACTACTTAGCTATAAGAAAAGCCAAAAGCTGAAAGAAAAATCTAAAATCTAAAAGAAAAGCTAGAGCTAAAAAGTTGAGTTTCCCTACAAACGGAAAGAAATTTTGACAGTATCGTGCGGATCAAAAGAAGTCAAGGGGAGAAGAACAAATGCTAAATGATCTCACTCATGCGAAATATAAATAAACACATAAAGGAAATAAACAGGTGACCAATGATTCCAGACTTTCAGGGAGGGTACAGAGAACTGAATTTGTTATGGATGGGAGTGGGGAAGTAGAGCGGGAGAGGGCAATGGAAGGGGGCCTCAAGACAGTGGTGAAGACAATTAGGGCAAAGAAGGGAACTATAACAACGATAGTTGGAAACGATCACTCTGGACAAGAACTGAGTGCTGGAAGGAGGTAAAGGGATACACATAATCTTTCAGTACCTGCAAACCATAAAGCCCAGATAGAAAGAGAGAGAGATAGAGAGAGAGTGAGAGGAGAGAGAGAGAGAGAGAGAGAGAGAGAAAGGGCGGGAAAGTGCCTGCAGTAGAGGCAGACTAAGGGTGGGGTCTTGGTGGAAAAAGGGAAACTGGGGAAAAGCTGGGGAAATTGGTGATGAGAAATGTACACTGGTGAAGGAACTGGTGTTGAAACACTGTACAACCAAAACTTATCACAGTGACAAAAAATAAATAAAGACAGTGATAGAAGGATGTTGGCATTCTGTTGGTAGTTGTGGTACAGCAGTCACAGTATTCCAGAAATATCATGTCGGGAATCTATTGTAAAACACAGTGCCTAAGTTAAAAATACAGTTCTTGGGGTTGGAGAGATAGTACAGCGGGAAGGGCTCTTGCCTTGCACATAGTTGACCTGGGTTTGAATCCCAGCATCCCATATATTTCCCCAGTTCCTCCAGGAGTAATTCCTGAGTGCAGAGCCGGGAGTAATCTTGAGCATTTTGAGGTCTGGCCCAAAACTAAACAAAATTCTCTTTTTTGAAAAAATAAATACTATAGACCTATGAAAAAATTCCAAGATACAATGTGATAAAAGAAACAGGGCCAGAGAGACAATATTATAGAGCTTGTCTTACGTGTGGCTGACCCTGGTTGGATCCCCAGCACCACAATATGGAGTTCTAGGCACTGGGCCAGAAGTAAGCCCTGAGCTCCGCCAAGTGTAGCCCCCAAATAAAACAGTAAAATAAATAGTATGCCTGAAAAGGACATGTTGAAAAGCATAAGAGCCAGAGATACTTATAAAAGGGTCAACCAGGTAAGGAAGATCTCTGAAAGGGCTGCCACGTATGCTTTCATGTGGAGGCCCACATGGTTTCTTTGGCATTGTTCAGTGTACTCCTGGAGGTCATGAGCCTGAGGAGCACCACCGGGAAGGAATGAGCACCAAACCTCAAGTCCTCAAAGTCAGGTGTAGCATCATTTAGGGAGTGGCCCGTGGGCCCCCGAGCATTGTTTGAGAGGCCCTGTCACCTTGCAAGAAAATGAACCAATATCTAAAAGTGAGAACAGGTAATGAAACTAAAATTACCGGACATGGTCTAGAACAACAGTTCGTGCATGCCTCACAAAGAAGGCCCACCTGGGCTCGATCCCTGGCACCCCAGATGGTCCCTAGAGCCCACCAGGAGTGATTCTCCGAGCGCAAAGCCAGGAGTAAGCCCTGGGCACAGTGGATATGGCTCCCAAACCAAAATTAAATTACTGGATAATTTAACAATAAATTAAGCAAAAGTAAAGAGATCACCAGTAAAAAAAAGAAGTTTCTAATAAATTGTTCCGAATATTCAAAATAGAGCTCACAGAAATAAAGAATAGGAAATACAGATGTAGGCTGGAGAAACACAGAATAAACTGAGAGGATATGATACTTTTCCAGAAGAAAAAAAAAGGATACACAAAAGGCCTTCTTTCCCATAAAAGAAACAGTGCAAAGGAAAAATAAATAAAAATATACAAAAAGTTAGTGTCTCAAATAATAAAAGACTAATCAAGATATCCAAAAAGTTTTAATGAGAATCAACTTACAGAATATAAAAAATATGTGAAATAACTAAGGAACACTTAAAGAGAAAGTGGAAGTTAAGCTGACAACTTTCTACCGAGAAACGATCACTCTGGACAAGAACTGAGTGCTGGAAGGAGGTAAAGGGAGAAAGTGGAACTTAGGCTGACAACTTTCTACGAGAAAACAAAACCACAATAACATGGAATGATTACCTTAATATGCTGAAAAATACCTATCATCCCAGAATTCAATACTAAATATTCCTTAAAATTGACAATTTTGCTGCTCTTTCATAACTATATTCACACATATATTAAATACTAGATGTATTTAAATTTTAAGTAACTTTAGAAAACTCTTCAAAGTGATACTTGCAGAGACAATTTAGATGATTTTTTTTTTTTTTGGTTAATACAAAAATGCAACTTCACACAAACTCAAGATAAAGACCGACATTCTGGGGCCAGAGCGACAGTACAGCAGGTAGGGCATTTGCTTTGCACATGGTGAACCTAGGTTAGTTCTCCAGTATGCATTAGAGTCCTGAGTGTTCCAGGAGTGACCCCTGAGCACAGGGCCAGGAATTAGTCCTGAGCACCACCAGTGTGGTCCAAAAAACAAATTAAAACAAACAAACAAACAAAGAAACACTGACATTCTGATGTATTTTTTGTTTGCTTTTTCTTTTCTTCTTGGCCATACCAACAGTGCTCAGGGCTCGCTCCTAGCCGTGTACTTATAGATCACTCAAGGCAGGGCTCAGTGGGCATATGGCACCTGGGTCCTGCATAAGTTAAGTGCCCTATCCACCGAATACCTTGACATTCTGAAATTTAAAAAACAAATCATTATTAATATGTAAGACTTGAGACAAATGATTACATGGGTGAAAAGACTATTCTTACTTATACTATTTACAGAAAATAAATTTGAGGGCTGGAGCAACAGTCCAGTAGGTCAGGCAATTACTCTGCACACTTCATAGGTGGGTTTGATCCCTGGAACCATATATGGTCTTTGGTGCCTTGCCAGAGTGATCCCTGAATACAGAGTCAGGAGTAGGCCCCGAGCACCACTGGGTATGGCCCCAAAACAAAACAAAAAAATTTTACAAAGAGAAAGAAAAAAATTGAGTAAGTTTAGAAAATAACTTTTAATAAAGTCTGAGAGGTAAATCTGTAACACAACTTGATACTCATTTATTAGGATGTCTACCTATCTAATACTTTAAGATATAATTAATGGATAAATTTTGTTCTAGGACTTGCTTTTTTCTTTAGAAATCCTGAAAAAAAAAATCCAAGAAAAAAAGAATAACTGCATACACGATTAATCAATAAAACTTTAGACTTCAGAAAACCTGCTTTGTTATTCAAAATACAACTACTCACCAAAAGCAGCAGCCATTGGGGGCTCAAGGGACGGCTGGCCATCACCCGTAGGAAGGTCTAAGCGAGTGAAGTCTCGACTTTTGTCATTATTATATTTCACATTAAGGCTGGTGAGCTTGGAGTAGTCAATGCGCAGAGTACAGCATGCGTTATAGATATTCTGGCCATCCAGAGTCTAAAGCATGTGAGAAAGGGACTGTTGTTTTTGCAAGATAATACCGACAAATCAAGCAAGCAGCCTCTACTCTGACAGAAAGCAACAATCGGATGTCAAGCAGAGAGCAAAGGTCTAAGTAACACTTGTTCATTTTTACCTCTGGCACTAACTGTCTGAGCTTAAGAGAGAAAAAGAAAATCTCTAACTCAGTATTTCCCTCTGTAAAATAAGAATCATCCATATCTTATACGTCTTATGTTAATATTTAACCGAAAAGGATTAATAGAAAAATGTAGGCAACTATTATATATGCCTCTTTGCTAGAAATTATTATAATTATTTTGTTCACAGCAAAATTTATAAAGGTTAGTATGAAATACATTTTCATGTTACTTGTCAGAATCACAATATATGAAATATAATTATCTGTAGACTTTTCTACACTTGCATGATAATATGTAGGATAATTTTTGAGTCCGTTATTATTAATGACCAAATATTAGATTATTCCCCATTTTAAGTAATAAAAATTTACTAAAGGGATATTTGTGGTCAAGTATGATATTCAAAAATACTCAAATATATAAAAATACGTGAAAGAAACTAAAACCTATAAAAACAAAAAGTGCACAAATATACAAAAATATTTTCAATACATATACACAACAGAAGTAGAAATAGTGATAGACGTCAATAGATAAGCCAAATATAACCAACTGGATGTAAATTTTTATATCTTCTCAACTATTAAGGACGTATGTACACAAATAAAAAAGACAAAATGATTCAAAAGTGAATGTGGTGTTACAGTAGTAACAACTGACCCTATTCGTCTGTGGCTGATTTGACAAAATAGAGAAAGGCACAAAGGAAAAACAGATCTATTCAATAAATCATATTTCATCAGGTGAAACGTACTCAAAACTAGAATTTAAACATGGCAAATAAGAATGAGTACCCATAGATCTGAGACACCACAAAAAATTTGAAACCATTTTATATGAAGGAATCATTTTTAGTTCATTATGGAAGAGAGCAGTTCACATGCTACATCCAAAAGCAGTAAATTTCATTTTATGCATGTATAAATATATGGACACACATGTATCACACACAGTAAACTCAATGATGGAGAGGACAAAATGGCTTCCTTCATTATAACTGTAATTAGTATAAATATAAAATTTAAAAGTATCATAATTACCATTTTTGCATAATGTGCATTCAATGGGTCAGCATACTGAAGCAAGGCTTGAAACTGATTATTCTTTGTGAAGGTGATTATCTTCAAGACTGTGCCAAATTTAGAGAATATCTGGAAAAAAGTTCACATTAGAAAAAGTTAAGTGAACGTATCTTTATTGTATTCAATTTGATTCACTAACCAACTGTATTTTTAAATGATGGGTCCACACCTGGTGGTGCTTGGGGCTTACTACTGGCTCTGTGCTCAGTAATCACACCAGGAGGTTTTCAGAGGATGCTATGTGGTGCTGGGGACTGACTCAGAGTCAGCTGTGTGCAAGGAAAACAAAGGCCCTAATGCCTGTACTGTCTCTATGGCCCGCAAATCCAATTTTTTAAATAAAAATTTTAAATAAAATTTCCTCTCGTAGGAGACAATATCATTCAAGAAGACTTGTGGAAACAAGTGCAGCCCATGGTTTTAGATTCCTATGCTCATACAGCCCTTTTCTAGACTTCTCTGCCTACCTACCACCTGGTAAATTTTCAAATGATCTTTTTTCAAAGCTCAGGTTATGTAACCATGTCACTAGAAAATTCTCAACTTCTCCTAAAGCTCAATGGGTTCATTCTCTTCCCCAAGATTCAATTTTCAATTCAAAATTCAAATTCAATTCAAAGTTTAATTCCCCAAGAAAATCCCCAAGATTCTTCTTGGGATACCTATCAAACTCATTACCAAATCTTTAGAAATATGTCCATAATCACTACTTTTGAAGTCTATGCTCCCACCAGCTTACCACTATCTTTCATCTGGACAGTAACAAGAGCCTCTACTGAATGTAGCAATAAAATTTTTTAATGCAGCAATAAAATTTTGTTAAAGCACAAATCTATTCTCTCACTTCTCTATTCAAAATTCTTGAATGGTTTCCCATCTTAGTGTAAAGATTATAAAAACTGCTTCAACTAACCCCTAAGCTTGTCTCTGACCCTATCGCTTATGACACTGCTTCTTTTCCATTGTTGGGGCCTCCCAAGCAGGACTCAGCTGCCTCAGGGTAACTCCTGGAGATACCTGCCCTGGGTGAGCAGGTCCGATGGTTCAGACGTGGGGCCTCATGCAAGCAAGGTTTGCGTTCCATTTCCCTAAGCTACCTCCCCGTCCCAATATTCCTATTCTAATGACAGAGCCTAGTTCTTTTTTGTTTTGGGGATACAATCTGGCAATGCTCAGGGTTCAATTCCTGGCTGTTTACTCAGGAATAACAAGGAGGGTCTCAGGGGACCATATGGGGTACCAGGAATTGAACCCGGGTCGACCACATGTGAGGCAAGCACCCTACCCTCTGTACTCTCTCTCCAGCCCCAATTTCTAATACTGGAACGCTAAGAACATTCCCATTTTAGGGACTTTGGACCTACTGTCTCTTATATTTTGCCTCATATATCTAAACTTAAACACTCACATCTTTCAAGCCTTTGCTCAAATGTTATCACACTGGAACTATCTTCCCTAGCATTCCTCACTTGAAAAAGCATTGCTCCCATGTCAGTCATGATTTCCTTTATCATGAGCTAAAGGGAAAATGAACTTCTACTGACAACAGAGAACAATTTATCGAAATGCCAACTTTCCAGAAAAGAACATAACCAGTGAAGTAAATATAACAGGCACAACCAACTCCATACATCTCTGGGTTTCTCAATCACACTATGCATAATATTTGACGCTACTACTTGTGAAATTATAATAACCACAAAACTGTAAGATCATGGACCAATTTTTGTGGTGGTAGGGATGTGTCTAATGCACGTAAGGCATATACTTTACATTTGAGCCACCTCCCCTGCCCAAAGACCAATATTTTATACAATGTAATTTTTTGGTATCTGACCATTAGAGCTGAGTGATGTTATCAGCACTGTTACACTTGCTTTAAATATATGTAATCCTTATAATGAAGATATAAAATAAACATTTTTTTTCCAGTTTTGGGAATCAAACCCGGAGGAGCTCAGAGCTTATTCCTGGTTGTGTGCTCATGAATCATGCTCAATAGTGCCTGGGGGACTCTATGGCATGCTGAGGATAGAACCCCAATTGGCCACATGTAAGCCAAGCTCTACACGCTGAAGTATCACTCCAGTCCCATGGTAATTCCTTTATATTAAGTAAGAAAATAGATGTAGAAGGGATAATGTTTAGAACCAGGAGTAAAAATAAAGTCCGGACAGTAAATGGCAAATCCTGAACCACTGTTATACCATCTTAGTTGATAGGGGGAGAGAGCTTATTTAACTACAGAAATATTTTGAAAGGTTGAATTTAGGCTGAAAACTGGATAGAGATGAAGCTAAGCAATTATTTCAGAAACAGAAACTCTAGGAAACTGAAAACAGAAATGGATTGAGGCAGGAATGAGTTGGGACCAAAAAAATCAAAGACCAGGAAAGCTAAGTACAGACTAATAGGATGTGAGGATACAGAGATGGGGGAAGAGGTTGTGCATGTAGGACCTTATGGGCTTTGCCTGGGAGTTTGATTTTACTCTAACAACAATGATAAGAAAGGCTTAATGGGGCTGGAGCAATAGCACAGCGGGCAGGGCATTTGCCTTGCACGCAGCCGACCCGGGTTCGATTCCCAGCATCCCATATGGTCCCCCGAGCACGGCCAGAAGTAATTCCTGAGTGCATGAGCCAGGAGTAACCCCTGTGAAAAGCCGGGTGTGATCCAAAAAGCAAAAATAAAATAAAATAAAATAAAACCAAAGGCTTAAGCAAGGAGTGCTTTAACTGGCTCAGAGTTCTATCCCAATAGATATTAATGAGGACTATCTGAATTACTACATTAAAAAAAAAGTATTACTACTTCTCACATGAAGGACCACATGATCTTTGGGGAGAGAAACAAAGCTACTTCCCTCAGGAAAATGATAGACGACAAGACCTCATGACCCTGACTAAGCTCACTGCTGACTGTGGGCAATGTTTAGCCACAAATGCAAGAACCTTTTTATAAGTCAGTTTAAGTTAGCAATAGTTACAGTGTCAACAGAAGCAAGAGTAAACAAACCCTGCTGGATGGACCACACAAAGTTCAAGGCGACTTTGTGGGAGAAAGAGAAGAAAATACACCAGAATAAAAAAAATCCTACTGAACTCTTTTATGGAGCAACAGTGGCTATTGTGGCTATTAAAGGCCTTAGGATATGCTTCATAAACATGTCTATTCGGAGACTGGAACTCAGAAAACACGAAGAATGGCATATTTTGATACTTCGATGTATCACACAGAACTATAATGGGATACATATATGAGTCTTTATCTCCAAGTGACATAATGACTCTAGGAAAGTATTGCAACTTTGAGCCCTGAAGTGCTCAGTGCTTACTCTTGTCTCTGTGCTCAGGGATCACTCCTGGCAGTGCTAGGGGGATAATATGTGGTATCAAATATCCAGGTCAGCTGTGCAAAGCAAGAGCCCTACCTGCTGTATCATCTCTCTAGTCCATTACCTCTCACTCTCTGTGGTCTATGACCTCGTTCTTAAATCCCATTCATTACCGATCATGACTATAAAATGACTTTTATCAAGGCAGTTATGCTTATCAGTATCTGTCATCCTGGTAACTGATATTGAGCACTAATTAGTGCCTAACCTGATATTCTTTATTACATATTAAGCTACGTATACTTTCCTTTAAGAATTTCTTTAAAATAGGGGCCTCGCCCAGCTGTACTGCGGAAGGCCAGGAGTTGTCCTGACATATTAGGTACAGCAGTGTCAGCCTGCCAGTTCAGTGTGTGGGTCCAGCAATGATATGCTGCTCTGACACAACAATTTTGGGTGCCACCAGGGTCAGCCTTGAGATACCTGAAGGGCCATGTGGTGCTGGGGATCGAACTCATGGTCTTGTACATGTTAGGTATGTGCTCCACCATTTGAGCTACCTGAAAGGGCCTCTCTTAGACATTCTGTTTATTCATTTATCTTTGGTAGTTTCAACAGTGCTCAGGAGGTTCATGGGTAATTCACAGTCAATCAGGCTGGTGGCTCAATGCCAGGGTCCACAGATGCTGCATGCCAGGCTGCTCTGGCCATGAGTTCTGAGGGTGCTTGAAGGCTTGTAAGGCTGCACCCAGTGAGGTTTCCAGGTTAGGCACACGTCTAAGGTACTAACCCCCCTATGAAGTTAAAAACCTTCAAATGTAAGAAAGGGGTCAGTAGTTTTCTCTGAGTGTTATTTTCTCAAGAAAAAGTAGTCACTGCTTTTACAGGAGTCCAAACTTTGTGAAATTTCTTATTTAAACAAATATTACCAAGCAAAATCAATAATCTAAAAACGAACACTAGGCATATGAAAAGTTACTGAGGTCACATTTGACTGCTTTTGCAAGTGTTCCTCCTCACCTGATGAAGAACTTCCAGAGTGACAGGGTAAAAGAGGTTCTCAATAATTATTCGAAGGACAGGGCTCTGCCCAGGTAAGATTGGGCCTTCATTGGCAGGAGCTCCAGGAAGGGCCAGATTTCCCGACTGAACAGCACTGACGGCCTGCAGCGCAGCTTGGACTCTCTATAAACAATCAAAAATGAGAACTTTTAATTACTCAAATGCATTATAGGAACTAAAAATTATCTGATGCAGAGTAACAGTTAAGTCAAAATAGTTATCTCTTTGAATGCACATAGACTAACATTTTAATCAGCCAAAAGTCAAAAGAACCAATGATAAAGACAAACCAGATCAGCACCTCATGTCCAAATGCCTCAAGAAATGGGATGTGGCTCAGTGGTAGTCCGGCTGCTTTGCCATATGTGAGGTCCCAAATTTAATCTCAGAGTTCTGGGACCCAGAGGAGCGCTCGCCTTGCAGACAGGAGATCACGGGTTTGATCTTGATGCTGCTTCACATACTGAGTGGGATCCCTGGAGGACTGTCCCACATGCCAAGTGCAATCCCAAGACTCCTGGTGCCACAACCGTGTGTGTGTGTGTGTGTGTGTGTGTGTGTGTGTGTGTGTATAGTCATCACTGAAGTATGTATACCCTGTTGAACTAAAGTGTATATGCAAGGCAGCCAAGTGCATGCAACCCTTGGTCACTGCCAACAACAGCAGAGGGAGAGAAAGACTGGGAAGAAATCAAATGTTCTTCGTATTGTTATTTGCAGCTCTTTCAATTTTATAGCTATCAAAATTTAAAGACAGCTTTTGAAAAAAAAAAAAAAGAAATGCCCCACCCTGTGCCAGGCTGGTATCACTGGGGCGCCTTGAAAGTGGGGAGGGATGTCCCCCTGCCTGCTCCAAATGAACCCCAGGAGCTGCAAACCTCCAGAACCCAATCGCAGCCTTGCTCACAACTGATCTCCAGGCTCATTCTGAGGCCCCCACGCACAAGAATGAATTTGCTGAAAAACCCAGGCATGCGGGACTAGTGACTGAAAACTCTAGGCTTCCTGGAGTCGGGCATGAGCCACCTCCTCCCATCTCCCAGCCCTTCCGGTTTCCTGCTGGGTCATGCCCGCAAACCTGCCCGGGCATCATTTAAGCACATTAACGGCCATGATCAGGAGACTCACAAAGGAATCTCAGAAGAGAGCAGCGGACCACAGAGTTGCCTCCAGACTCCAATTATTTAAAATTTTAGAATTCCAGGAGCATGTGGCTGACATTTCATAACAAGCAATACAAAATAAATTATTTAGCATCTGTCTGTGGGGCAGGCTTGAGTGGTAATGGTAAAATTCAAAAAAATGGTGGTGGGAGGTGTAATGGTGGTGGGATTGGTGTTGAAATAGTGAATGTAATCAATTATTGTGAACAACTTTATGAAAATAAAATTAAAAAAGGGAATGTTGAAGGGGAAAAAGCATGGTTAATGATTGCTGAAAATAAACACAAAATTAATCATTCCAGTTTCTTCCTGATTTCTTAAGTATGGTGATAATTTGTAAAATGTTTGTGCCACACACACACACACACACACACACACACACACACACCCTGCCATTTTTATGTAGTTATTTTCTTCATTTTCCATCTTCCTTTTGCTGTTGAGTAGGGTATGTGGACACACACACAGGCCTTGTTGTGGTGGTCACACACTTGGCCACAGTGCTTGTCAGAGGCTTGTTATGTGGTGTTGTGGTGCTCATGTACAATGACGTAGTACTTGCCAGGTGTTGCTATGGTGCTCACATGCTTGCGTGCTGGAGGTCGAACTTCTGGCCACATTCCTTGTACATTATTTTGGTTGTAGTGCTCACTGGGGGTGACACCCTTTTGATGTGGTGGCTGTAAACTGCTCAAGCGGTGGGGATCTTAGAAATACCGCTAGGATTGTGCTCAGCACATGCAGCTGCACCAGGGATGAACTCAAGGCTTCACACTTCCAAGATAAGCACATTAGCCACTGAGTCATCCCTCAGTCCCTGGTGACTTTCATTTTTACACATTATTTTCCTGTGCAATTTTACGTTAACGTTTCTTTTTTTTTTTTAATTTTTTTACGTGTCTTTTGTTTTCATGATTTAAGTAATTTTAAAACAACCTAATAAAAGTAGTTTCCAACATTTTGATTAAAAAAAATTTAAGTATTGTTCTAAAGTTTGGCAGTCATTTTCTTTCTGTTGTCAGTAACTGAAGGGTATTTACCTTCATACTTTGATAAAACTTTTTGTACCTGTACACCACACACACCATGACCATGGACAGATGCACAATTACCAAACATGTCTCGAAAGGATCTGACAGTAATGTTTGATATACTGGCTCCCAAATAAGATTCTACAAGAAACAAAAGGTCCCACTACTTTCAAAAGTTTGAAAATGATTCGTAGTTCCAACCTGAACCTGTAGTATGGCCAAAGGTAAACTGGGGAGGTCACTCAATTTAAAAAGATACATAAATGACATAGGGATGTGCAGACATGGACATTTAACTAGTTGGTTTAATTGTATTCACCATCACCTCCATACACTTACGAGGTAAAAAGACAAATCGGAAAAAAAAAAAAAGAAACCCACAGTGGTATGCAATAATGTCCTATGATGACGGAAATGTTAAATATCTACACTGTTCAATACAGTACCTCAAAACGACAGATGTCTAGTGAGCACCTGTAAAATTTATTCATATTTAGCAACATGTAGCTAGTGACTACCATGATGAATGTCACAACCCTAGAATGTCTAGGAAAAATTATCATCATAGTAAAGTTCTATGTGGAATGACGTATGATTCCTTTCCGCTGTTGTTAGAATGATTAAATACCGATACAACCATAATATTATACAAAACCAAGAGTAAATTGACTTTATTTGATCATTCCATCAACCTATCAAATTTTTTTACTGACAAATTCTCTATATATGCTTCCTATTTCTAGTATTATTGCTAATATGATTTTTGATCTGCTTCTTTCTCTATTCTTTCATATTTGGCCAAAGATACCATAGTCAAGAGAGATGAGAGTCACATCCTAATCATTCTTTTAACTTTCTTCCCCATGTTCGCCTTTGGCTTTTGGATGGCATCTGCTGGGGCTAAGGGCTGCTCCCAGTAATGCCCACAAACCACGTAATGTGAGGTGCAAAGTCAGGACTCTCACATGCAAAGCCGCATTCCAGGCCCTTAAGCCTGTTCCATCGTCCATTCTGGCATTAGTAGGCATATAAAAAAATTCATTTTTATAATAATCTGAGAAAAATAACATTGAAAAAAAGACTTTTAAAAAAGGCTATCGTAGGATCAAAGAACTTGTACAGCGGGTATGGGTATTTGCCTTGAAAGGGGCTAATCTGGTCTCCATTCCCAGCACTTCATATGGTCCCCTGAACAACTCCAGGAGTAATTCCTGAGTGCAGAGCCAGGAGTAACCCCTGATCCCCTGATCATCACCAGGTATAGCCCCCCCCCAAAAAAAAACAACTAACAAAAAAAAACTAACAAAAAAAGAAGGGCTATAGTTCCAACATTCAATTAGGCAAAAACATTTTAGTACAAAAACAAAACGGATTTATTGTTACTTAGTACTTATTACTAAGGACAATGGAAATGCCAAATAAGCCAGCGAGTAAGAAATAACTTGAGAGTGAAGACATTATTTTTGATATATATGTATATATCGCTCCAGTATATGGTAAATGATCTGTGTATCTGTTGCTACAAAAAGGCAGAATCCCTAACATGTGAGAATTCTTAAATGTTTCAGCTGCAAACTCTCTGGAATGGCCACATTAACTATTAACAGAGAAAACAGCCACCACATGAATAGTATTCTATTAAGGTGGGAAATACATAGTCGATTTAAAACTTAAACATGCGCACCTAAAATAACGTGATGACACTAAAAACAATGAGCTGGAAATGAATAAGCATACATAGATTTAAACTATTCAGTGTGATTATTTTTTAGGATGATTTGTTTTGTTTTTTGAATGCAGATCAGGTTGGGGGTTACTCTCATTTGGTGGCTGGTGAGTGGTTAGTCTCAGTGGTACTCAGAGGTCTGAGCAAAATATGTTCGGCCTGTTGAACTATCTCTCCAGCCTTAGGCAATTTTTAAAGGGAAGTTCTTCTAGTGGTTACGTCTTTGTAGAATTATAAACTCATACTCATAAGCACAAGAAAAACTATAGAATAATGATTGTTATTAACAACCATTTCTCAAATGCCATACTTTAAAATATAATCTAAATATTGTTTTAATTTAAGCAGAGACACAAAAATACTCATATTCATTCAACCCTTCAGCAAGTATGTTTTTACATGTCTGGGGATATCTGATTATTCAGAAAGTAAAAGGAGCTAAAACAACTTATCAGCTTCCAGGGGCAGACAAAATAAAAAAAACGACTTTATGTTTACAAACAGGTACCTTCAATTTTGACTTCAGCTTTGGTGTAAAATTTTGAATTAAAGAAAAACTGTATTTCATCAAATGGTAATACAAAAAATGGCATAAAAGTATCACAACATAAAGGGTACTACTGGGAAGAAATCAAGACTCTCCAAGAATAAACTAGGTCATCTGGGTTGGCTTTGGTTGCCATGCAACTTGGATTACTCACCATTTCCCTTCAGAGTAATATAGTCTGTAAGAGTTTTACTAAATTGTTTGCTCTTCAAAATTTATACACTACCATTTTTTGAAATCAAACTAATGAGAAACTTGCATGAGTTAAAATGAAGGAAAATTTAAAATCCTACTGAAAGAAATGACTTAACTTCCTCCTTATAAAGATCAGAAGGAATGTAACCTACCGTCTTCAATTAATCTATAAATTCAAGTCAATTTTAACTCTATTTTTGGGGGTAGAAATTACTAAAATAATCATAATGCATAGGTACAGTCCGATATAAATTGCCCACATCCCAACCTAGGGGTGTGTTAAATCCTTTCTTTTACTCCATGGAGAGAAATCTCTTTCATGTTTCCTAAATAAATTTTTTTTTTACTTTAAAAATTCCAATGTACTTAAAAGAAAAACAAACTATATTAACTAGTTAATTTAAAAAAAAAAAGAGAATGAATAGGGTCCAAACCAAGAATATATTAAGCCAAAGGGCGTACTGAAACAGAAATGGAACAGAATGGAATCCCAAAAGAGCCTAGATTAGACATGGAGTGCATTCCACGGGGGCACACACACACGAAAGTATATTGGGGACGTGCAAGCTGAGTGTGCAGGAAGTTTTATAAATGTGTCTTGTACATAAGTACAGCTCCGGTATGAAAATAAGATGGATGACAAATTCTACATAAGGAAGCAACGGATTGTTCCCAAAAAAGTAACTAAAAGAAACTGGTGGGGGAGGGGACCAAAATGCTACCCTTACCCTCCATCTCCAAAATGATACTAATGTATTTGAATCTTAAGGTTAAGAACTATGGGGGGAGGGGAGGAGGGGGGGAAACCCAAATAGGTTAAAAACAAACAAAAAAACTTTTTTTTGTATGCTAGGTAATTGCCAAGAATGGTACCAAAGTTAGAAAATACGATTTTAAGAGACTTAAATTACTCTAATTAAAAAAAACTGACTTGTTTTATTTTTGGGACAAACCTAGCTGACCTGCACCTATGCTCCTGGGCCTCTTGTCCTTAAAGAATGTACTCAAGTCCTTTCAGTCATATCCCTCACCCTAAAAATATTTTTAAATTTTAGTATTTTGAGGGGGGGGTTGGGACATACTTCAGGGGTTCTAGCAGGGTTATGGACTGTGCTGTGCCGGGGTCCAAACCAGGCCTCCTGAATGCAAAACATGCACTCCAACACGCTAATCTTATCTCTCCAGGTGCCTAAAAATGTATTTCAAATTGCACCAGCAGAAATAAATCATAAAGGCAGAAAGAAAATTCGTGGGAGGAGGGGGCTGGGGTAAGAAAGAAGGGTACTGGGGAGTTAAGTATTTCATAAGTCTGGAGTTTTAGTTTAGAAAGATGAAAAATCCTGCAAATACAGGTGATGAGTTGCACATTGCATTTATATCACTGAATGACAACTCTCAAGAACGATTAAAACGGGGGCTAAAAGTGTAGGTCAGTGGGAGAGTTTGAGATCCTGATTGTTAAGGTCAATGTTTAAGGTCCTGGTGGTAAATTTTAAATAATGTTATCAATAAATGTTTATGGGATATATATATATACATATATGATGTCACTGTCACTGTCCTCCCGTTGTTCATCGATTTGCTCGAGCGGGCCCAGTAACATCTCCATTGTGACAATTGTTACTGTGTTTGGCGTATCGAATACGTCACGGGTGGCTTGCCAGGCTTTGCCGTGCGGGCGAGATACATATATCATGCACACACATTTATATTTCTTTAACCACAATTTTTTTTAAACCTTTGAGTCGCACTTAACAACTTAGTGTCGGGGGCTTGATCTTGACCATAATCAGGGGTTAGGACAATGCTGGGGATTGAACCAGGGTCAGCTGCATGCAAGCAAGGCTAGTACCTAAACTCTTGAAATATTCATCTGTGTCTTTACCACAATTTTTAATGAGTAAGAAATATATTTACAGAAACTACAGTAAACATATTTTATCAAATAAAAATAAAGATACAATTTCTCACATATTTTAGACAGAAAAACATCTTACTCAAACATTGTCAGTAATATCCTAGATCAGCACATATTTTTTTTTTTTTGAATCACCGTGAGAACAGTCACAAAGCCTTTCAGTTTAAGTCTCGATCGGTCATATGATGATCAAATACCCATCCCTTCACCAGTGCAAATTTTCCACCACCAAGAACCCCAGTATACCCCCTCCGCCCCGCCTATGTGGCAGATTTCCACTTTACTCTCTCTCTCTATGTTGATCACATTCAATATTACAACAAAAGACCCACCATTATTATTTGGAATTTTCTCCAACATTAGACCTGCCAAAAAGACATCATCAGATAATTTGTTTTCTATTGCTGATTATGAAGCGCATATGATGTCGCACGGCCGCTATTGCAGCCACGTGATTTTGTATTTCTGGCATTTTAGTAATAAGTCTTGAGGGATTACTGCCAAAAGCCGCTGGGTTCTGAGATTGGCTTGTGTGCCTCTGGGATCATGGTCGTTCAGGAGTTGGAGTAGGCATTCGTGGGTGGCAACTCGGGGCCTTGTCAAGGCAGGGAGCTGGGCTGGTTCCACCCCTCATCCCATGAGGCCCCGTATCAGCACATAATATTAATATAGAAAGATTACAACATGATTAAATAAGAAACATGTAGAAATGCTATCCCAGCTTTTTACTGCTACAACTGTAAACTAATAAATGCTAGGGATATGCTACCGTGTAAGAATGTAACTACAGTGGGCTGGAGCGATAGCACAGCGGGTAGGGCATTTGCCTTGCACCCAGCTGACTCAGGTTCGATTCCCAGCATCCCATATGGTCCCCTGAGCACCGCCAGGAGTAACTCCTGAGTACATAAGCCAGGAGTAACCCCTGTGCATCACCGGGTGTGACCCAAAAAAACAACAACAAAAAAAAAACAAGGAAGGTTACTACAGTACAATTTGTAACAAATTATAAAATTAGAAACAGTATCAATCACTAGCAACAAGAAACTGGGTAAACTATGGGTGTGCTGTCTAAGAAAGGATATTACAGTCATTTAAAAACTATGACCCCGGAGCAAGAAAGGTAGTACAGCAGGATAGGTGTTTGCTTTGCACACTACTGACCTGGATCTGGTCCCCAACATCCCACAAGGCTCCCTGAGCACTGCAGGAATGATTCCAGAGTGCAAAGTCAAAGAAAAAGCCCTGAGCATTGCTGGGAGTGGCCCCAAAGCAACAACAAAAATCATGACTTCAAAGGGCTGGAATGATAACTGGGAGAGTACTACTGACCTGGGTTCGATCCCCTCGGACCACACTGGCTCCCCGAGCACAAACAGGAGTGCAAAGCCAGGAGTGAGTCCTAAGCACACTGGGTATGATCCCCAAATAAAATTATGGCTTTGAGGGTGGAGAAGATAGCTCAAGGGGCTAGATGGGATGCTTAGGCTCAGCACTGCTAAATCCTTCCGAGCACCATTGAGCAACCCAAGTACTAAGGTTGCTGTCCCAACACTCAAACACAGACTATGATTTCTATGTTTATTATCAATTTCCATTTTGGTATTGGTCCAATATCCATTTTGGCACCCGAGTTCGATTCCTCTGCCTCTCTCGGAGAAGAGCCCGGCATGCTACCGAGAGTATCTCGCCCGCACGGCAGAGCCTGGCAAGGTATCTGTGACGTATTCGATATGCCAAGAGCAGTGTAACAAGTCTCACAATGTTACTGAGCCCACTCGAGCAAATCGATGAACGACGGAGGACAGTGACAGTGACAGTGGTGATGGTGCAGTCGTCTGTACTCCAAAAGCATAAACCATTAACACTGTTATAAATTATAATAAATCCATTAGGATTCAACTGATTTAATGATATGCATAAACAAAAACACACCCAAATAGAGAAAAGGTGCATACCAGAGTATTTGCAATTTAGTTATTATTAGTCATGTCTAGACAACTTGGTTTTTTTCCTGTTGTTTCTCACTTTTACTTTCCTTAGATTTTTCTGAATTTTTTACTATTAAGTCTGTAACCCGTTTATAAATTTGGCAACTTTGACTTCTCTTACTCTGTTTTGGGGAAAGAGAGGTTGAGCTACACCTAGTGATGCCAGAGGCCTTTCTTGGCTCTGTGCTCAGGGGTCACTACTAGTGCTGCTCAAGGACTTTCCATGATGCTGAGAACCAAATCAGGGCTGGCCACATGCAAGGCAAGTACCTTAAACCCTTCTCTCTCTCTCTCTCTCAATTTTTTCATGTTATGGAAGTCTATACAAACTTAAAAGTATCTGACATTTTATTTGTTACTAAGTTTATAGGGGTTATTATAGAATAATAGAACCTCTCAAAACATATTAAGGATTATATGCAGAAAATGTCACATAATTAAATGTGGAATATTATATTCATAGCTTGTATATTAATGACTTTCAACGAGAATCAAAGAACTAAATGGTTCTTCTGATGAGAAGAGTACATGAGCCAAAAGGCTCTTAACATAATCAAAAATCTTCTTGTAAGGTATTTGATTTGTAATTTTTTTCTATCCTTTCGTAACTAACTGTAAATGACCATTTAACTACTTAAAAATCAACCTGTAGAGACATGAAAGATTCAACATAAACTAAATCAAAGTAAAAACCAGAAAATGAGGTTAAAAAAAAAAAAACCCGGTATTTTGGGGCCAGAGTGACAGAACAGCAGGTGAGGTGTTTGCATTGCATGCGGCTGGTTCAGGCTTGATCGCCAGCACCCCATGTAGTCCTGAGCTTTCCAGAAGTGACCCCTGAGCACAGGGCCAGAGGTAAAACCTGACCATAGCTGGTGTGGTCCTCTCCCCAAAGATCCTGATATTCTTCATTACATGCTAATCTTAAGGAACAAAGCATCAGCCTGAAAAAAAACACTGCACACAACTACATAAATCACAACACCTAAATAATAAAACCATACAATACAGTTTTTTCTTCTTCTCCCCATGAACACATTTCTAAATGACACTACCTTCTTTTTCTTAAAACTTCAGTGAGAATTTACATCTTTACAAATAAAGTATCCTAAGAAGGAAAACATGAATCTTTTTTTCCCTCCAAAAAACTGGAAATTCATTGTAAGTTACTGAATCACACATTTGTATAACTTTTTAAATGCCATTAATACTTACAGCTTGATTAGGTAGATTGTCAGTCTTAAGTTCTCTGTGATTGGAATACTGAATAAAAACAGGCTGGCTTCGAAGGTGAGGAGTAACAGGAGTGTAATAATTCACCATAGTAACAGCTGCTTCCTCCGAAGCCATTTCTAAGAAAGCCTGCAATAAATATAAGATAAGGATAAAGCAAAAGCTCATGTTTTTGAAAGACAAGAACAATTTGTCATTCGACTTTGTTCTAAACTCATGTTGCTCTACAGAGGTAATACTGCTCAAGCAGAAGAAAAACAGTTGTTTTAAAGTTTATCACTGATGTTAAATGGAAACATATTTGAAATGTTGGATTCAATAAAGGATATTAAATTGGAAAACTGCAAGCTGTAAATGACCATATGTAGGTTTTTTTTCTTAGTTTTTTCTAAAATCTAAAAATGCAAAAATAAGCATGCCAGTCAAACCCATAGTCTAGGATGAAACTACTCAGATCACTTAGCCAGTTAGTACTATCTGTAGGATAACTTTTAAATGTAAGATACAGGGCTAGAGGGATAATACCGTGGGTAAGCTTTTACCTTGTATACAGCTGACCCAGGTTCAGTCCCTAGCATCCCATTAGGTCTCCTGAACTTGCCAGGAGTGAGCCCTGGGTGCAGAGCTAGGAATACGCCCTGAGCACCACTTAGGTGTGGCCCCAAAGCCAAAATAAATAAAATGTGAGATGCAAAAAAGAACTCTTGACTCAATACAAATTTCTGATTAGAAAATTCCACTATTTTATTAATAGAGAAGGACATTTACCTAGCAAGTATGCACCAAACATTTCAAATTATATATAATCTATAAAATATGTATTAACTAAATGTATTGAACACAAGGATGTCTATGTGCCCACATATTTCTTAGTTTCTAGTTACCCTGCCTAATGTTCCTAGTTGGTAAATATTCCCTACCACCACTTGATAGATTGACTAGACTGAAACTCAGCAAGGAAATACTGAACTTTAAGGAAGAAATAGAAGAGAATTAGGGCTGGAGCGATAGCACAGCGGTAGGGCGTTCGCCTCACAAGCGGCCAACATGGCCGACCCGAGTTCGATTCCTCCGCCCCTCTCGGAGAGCCCGGCAAGCTACCGAGAGTGTATCTTGCCCGCACAGCAAAGCCTGGCAAGCTCCCCGTGGCGTACTCAATACGCCAAACACAGTAACAACAAGTCTCATGATGGAGACGTTACTGGGCCCGCTCGAGCACATTGATGAACAACGGGCGGGCCTTTACCTTTACCTTTTTAGTTTATATAAATATATAAACATATATATGTATACACACATCATACACACATCATACACACACACACACACACACACACACACACAGAGCTTTTAATCCCCCCAAAGCAGAATACGCATTCTTCTCCAATGTACAAGGGACATTCTTCATGACAGACCACATGCTAGGCCACAAAACATATCTCCATAAAGAGGATAGAAATCATATCAACTATCTTCTCAGACCATGATGCTCTGAAAATAGAAGTTAACCACAAACAGAAACAGAGAAATAACTCTGACACTCAGAAATTAAACCGCTCACTACTGAATAACCAGTAGGTCAGAAGGGAATCAAAAGATTTCTGGAAACAAAGGTTTTCATTCTAAGACATTAGAAACTGTGGGACACAGCAAAAACAGTGCTAAGAGGAAAGTTTATGGCTCTGCAAGCATTCATCAGGAAGGAAGAAAAGATCTACATAAATAATCTGACTGCACAGCTTGAGAAACTGGAAAATGACCAGTAAAAGGAGTCCAAAGCAAACGAGGAAAGAAATAAAACTTAGAGCAGAAATTAATGAATTGGAATAAAAAAAAAAAAACAAAAGATTAATGAACCAAGAGCTGGTTCTTTGAAAAATAAACAAGATGAATAAACCACCAGCAAGACTTACAAAGAAAGAGAGAACCCTAATTAACTGAATCAGAAATGAAAGGTAGGGGGTGAATATCACAACAGATGAACACAGAAATTCAAAGGAGCATCAGATATTACTTTGAAAGTCTTTATTTATGCCATGAAAGAAGAGAACCTAAAAATAAATAATACCTGAGCAGATCTATAAATACTGAAAAAACTGAAAAGGCAACCACAAAGAAAAGGCCAGGCCCAGATGGATTCACTAGTGAGTTCTTCCAAATAGACCTGCTGCCAATCCTTTTCAGGTTCTTCCAGGAAATAGAAGAAACAGAAGCACAGGAGAAATTATTTGCCCATCATTCATCTGACAATGAGTTTAAAATCCAAGATCTTTTAAGTGTATGAAATAAATGCTTTCTATCACAAATCACCAGGGGGAAAAATTTTTTTAAGGGGAATAAAAATTAAAACAATGAGATATTGCCTCACACTACAGAGACTAGCATTTATCAAAAAACAAAAACAAAAACAAAAACCACACCCATCATGGGTCAGAGAGAGAGTGGGGACCAGAGAGATAATACAGCATATACGGAGTTTTCCTAGTATGCAGACAACCCAGGTAAATCCCTCGCATGTTATATGGTTCCCCTATCACCACCAGGAGTAATTCATGAGTGGAGAGCTAGGAGTAAGCCCTGCCAAGTATGGTCCAAACCCCTGTTTCCTCCTTCACAGCACCCCCCTCGCCCCCCCCAAAAAAAGAGAGAAAAATAAAAAACAAGCACCATCAGTGTTGGCAACGATGTGGAGAACAGGGACACTCGTTCACTGCTGATGGGGATGTTGACTGGTCCAGCCTTTTGGGAACACAATATGGATATTCCTCAAAAAACTAGGAGCTGAGCTTCCGTATGACCCAGCAATTCCACTCCTGGGAATACCCCAACAGCCCAAAAGTATAATGCAGAAGAGACATGCACTCCTATGTTCACTGTAGCATTGTATACAATAGCCAAAATACGAAAATAACCCAAAAGCCCATGAACACATGACTGGGTAAAGAAACTATGGTACATGCATACAATGGAATACTACTCAGCTATAAGAATACTACTCAGCCTTAAAAGCCATGCACTCTGTTACAATGTGGATGAGCTATAAATCTGATGACTGAAATCACAGAGAGGAAAAGACTCAGAATGATTTCTCTCAGATGTGGGATATTCTTCATAGAAGAATATAAAGTGCCAAAGGCAACATGAAGAGCAGAAGAACTGGTCTTTAGTAAAATGTTTGCCACTGAGTCAGGGGCATGTGGTTATGTTCAGGAAGAGAACACTAGGACCATGGGGAAAGAGAAAAGTGACTGCCATAGAGGCAGGCTGAGGGATGAGAAGGAAACTGGGGGCATTGGTGGAGGGAAGTCGGCGCTGGTGACGGGACTGGTGTTGAAAGAAAATATGCTTGAAACTCAATCATAAATATCTTTGCAACTTTGTAATTCACGATGATTAAATAAAATAAGCGAAATGAAAGTCTATTTGTAAATTAAGAAACTCATAAAATTAAGAAACATACTTTCACATTATTAAAGAAGTGACATAAAAACCCTAACACGAAATCAAACTAAAGATTTTAACATACATTTCGGAAGACTTTTCCTGTTAATTTTCCAAATGATAAAAATTCTAGCCTGTTAGAACCCTCTGATAATCACAAGATATTTTCATAACCATCTTGCGAAGAGGAATACAAAATGTGTTTTTTATTAAGAAGGAAAAGGTAAGTAGACAGATGAGTAAGCGAATCTGTTTCCTAGGTTAATACCTTTCCTTTGTTGCTTCCTGTCATTCCAAAAACCATCTTAATCTTCTTTATGAATGGCTAGGTAGATAGCTCTGGGCACAGGGGTGTTTGCTTTACATGTACAATGCCCTGAGTTTTAGACCCGTATTGCTGGGTGTGGTCTATTGGTCTCCAGTACTGCTGGCCTAAGATCAGCCTAGGGTCCTTGCATTGGACCACCAATCTACCTGATAAGGTATATTGAAAAAGCTCTGGACTTCCCTGAGCACTGCTTAGGAGAGCTCCCCCCACCCCTTATTCTCATCCTCACCCTCCCGCCAAAAAAATACTCAAACCCCAAGTTTATAAAAATGTAATGAAAAGTAAAAAATAAAAGTTCAAGAAAACAAAAATTATCTTTAAAACTACCATCCAGAGATGAGTTTGGGTCAATCTTTATTACTTACCTGGCTTTTTCCTTTCAACATCAAAAGATTAGTTACTTTGCCAAAGGGTAGACCTAATGAGATGACCTCTGCTTCGGTGACATCATCTGGAATTTTGCGCAGATGGAGAACTCGAGAAGGTGAACAGGGAGGTCTATCGCCTTTAAATTTCTTGTTATCATTCCCATTAGCTACAAAACAAACAATTTTGAATTACTGACACGAATCTGGCTTGACATACTACATTACTATTACATTTCACCCTCCAAGAGTTTCAAGTTCTGAAACTCAGGGGACTCAGTAATGGGCGAAAGGGGAGAAACGCCACGAAAAACAAAACCACCCACCCACCTCTCAACGATGGTTTTTATTTTTAACTGCAGACAAAAATTTATAGCACAATTATTTTAATGCCTGGTTTAAAATATTATTTTGATGTGGACGGGGCCTCACAAGCCGTGCTGAAGGGGTCTGGGAGGCCACGCCCAGCAATAATGGGCCAAACAGACTGGCATTTCAATATTAGAGCTGAGAATATAATGCTGCTGTGACCACGAGGTGGCCTGGAGCTCAGGAGGCCTTCGAGGCTACACCCTGACAAGCTTAAGAGGCCATTCTGATATTTATTCTTATTTTTTAAAAAGTTGTTCATAATAATTTATTACAGTCATATTCCAACACTGATCTCACCACCATTACACCTTCTCACCACCATTATTTCAAAATCTCCCACCACCACCCAAGCCTGACCCCAAAAGACAGATCCTAAATAATTCATTGTGTATTGCTTGTCATAAATAATCCGCTAAAAATGATCCCAAAAGTTTCCTTAACGGAAAGTGTATAAAGATTACTGCATCTCACCTTGGAGCCATTAAGCCCCTGTAAAAGAGAATACTAATATGTTGTTACAGGTTGAGCCTTGTGTGCGTGTGTGTGCGTGTGTGTGCGTGTGTGCGTGTGTGTGTGTGTGTATATATATATAAAACAAAGGTTGGTTGCCTTCTACTTCACACCCCATCAAATGTGGTGTGCTTCTTTTGGGACATCACTGGTACAGAGTATGAGATGTCATGCAGATTAATTCTTTTGTACATAGCTAGTAATTAAGAAGTATTATTAAAATAAAGCTTAAGGGTCATTGTATTTTTTTTAATCACAAAAATACCATTCCTAGGAAACAGTAATCTGATCTTTAGAAAATAAATGCAAATTTGTGTGGGTTACATAACACTATCAAAAGATTAGAGTCACAATCAGGTACTGGATAGGAAGGAACGAGCAGCATAAAGTGCTTTCATGGACCCTTCTAGTGGACGCAGATGACTATACGACAGGATCAACCATCTTGGGCTTTCTCAAGCAGCACAGGGTTAAAAAAAAACTACACAAAATATTCTAGAATGAAAGAATATGAAGTTGCAATTGTCACAGAGGTACTGGTCATCACTATGAAACCGTGTGTGACACCCTGCAGCACTGCAGGGGTGGCCAAGGTAACCCCATAACGGCAGGGCTCCAGCAGCACTGACTGCACCCTCTGACCCTTGCACTGAACCCTAGCCTGGCTGGCCAAGAACCAGCCAGAGGGGCCTCCTGAGCACTGCTCCGGAGGCCAAAAATAAACAAAAATTGTGTGAGAACAAATGAATACCATCTGAGCCCGTGCTGCACCAGCACAGGCCTTATTCAAGACCCATTCTGGCAAGTTTGAGGCAAATGAAGTGCAATTCTAAATCACTGCTCTAGGTTAATTGTTCTACATTATAAAAAGTGCCTGAGCATTGTTAAAAGCATACACTGTATCTGCTCAGGTTTTCCTGGGTCTTCACCAACCTCTCTGCACTATGCACCCTCCTCACACCATTCCCTTACAACCAATGTTGACTAGATGACCGGAAAGGGAGCGATCATAGAACACTCCCAGCAAAATCTATACCAAAACTGAAACACAGACTTCTGAGTGGAGCCCCCACTGGAAAAGATGACAGGAGAATCTAGCTCCAATCTCCAGGAGAGGAGGCAGAGGTATGGATCAGCAGCAGTTCAATTTAATGGCTAAGGAGTGTGACTGTACCACAGAAGGGGGCAGGGCAGAGCAGAAATCAACAGCCTGGAGGGATTTCTAAATTGCTCTTAATTTTTTTTTTTTCCTTTTTGGGTCACACCCAGCGAGACGCACAGGGGTTACTCCTAGCTCATGCACTCAGGAATTACTTCTGGTGGTGCTTGAAGGACCATATGGGATCCTGGGAATCAAACCCGGGTCAGCCGCGTGCAAGGCAAACACCCTCCCCGCTGTTCTGAATTGTTTTGTGCAGAATCATGTCCTGGCAAAATGGAGGAGCAAACAAAAACCAGCCCTCCACCCTGAAAATTCAACTATTAGAAAATCTGACTGGGGGACTGGAGAGATACTATAATGGATAGGGCGCTTGCCTTGCACTTGGCCAACCGTGGTTTGATTCCTAGAATCCCGTATGTTTCCATGTGCACAGACAGCCATGAGTAATTCCTGAGTGCAGAGCCAGGAGTAATGCCTAGCTGAGCATTGCTGGGTATGGCCCCGAAATCCAGAAAATAAAACAAAACCTGAGTAAGAATTAAAACCTGGCATAGGTACTGAACACACCTCAGCAGCCCCTTGCTAACCTCCAGGGAGCCATCCTCTTAACAGTTCTTTCAGTTAAAAAAAAAAAAGCGAGGGCAAATTCCACCATTCAGCAATGGAAGGGTGGGGCCACAGGAACTGAGTGGCATTCCTCAGAGTCAGGCTGAACAAAGTCAGCTCCTCTCAATACCACTTCTGACTCACAGAACCACCGAACAACCACCTAAAATCTGCTTTCTGGAGTCAGAAATTAAAAACACTAGGAGGCTTGCTCATGTCTAGCTGCTTTTGAACTGCAGGAATTCTGTAGGAGTTGCTCAAACCTGACGCCAAACACTGCCATAAATCCACAGGACACTTTCCAGGTCTGCGTGAGTCTAGCTGCTGTCAGGACCTAGCAAACACAACACCATGGGAGTGTTACACAGATCTGCCTGGTTCTCTAGCTCCTCCTGGGCACTCGTTAGTGTGAGGCACCATTTGCTACTCAGACCTGATGGGCATTCATACCACGGCCACTGTCAGGCACTATGGGAAACAATCCAGGCTCCCAATTCTCAAGGGGTAAGTGCCCCAGTAAGCTTATGAGTAAATTTCCAGCAGTGTCCAGAGTGATACAATCTCAGAGCCGGTCACTGTCTTGAAGTTGCAAGCATTAATCTAAATTTATGACTGCCTAGGTCTGTACAAAACTGACACTCACCCCTATCTCTGACACAGTACTTAGCAAAATGAAGGAGAAGAGGAATTCAAAATGCAGTGAAGGAGAAAGACAAAGGCCCAGGAAGGAGCCCAGGAACATCAGGAGTTTCCAAATGGCCTCATGAAAACTTGAGAGCAACAATGGCAAGGATGTCCAATATGCATTAAAGAAATCAACAAAGCTCTAACAAGAAAAGAAAAATTTGGACATACGAGAGGACGTAAAGTCAGAAATCACGGAGTCAATGGGGCCGGAGAGATAGCGCCACCAGGAGTGACTCTTAAATGCAGAGCAACCCCTGGGCATCTCCAGGTGTGGGCCCAAAACCAACCAAACAAAACTTGCTGAGCTGAAAATACAAAAATAGGTGAAGAAAAACATACAACAGAGGGCTCAGCAGCAAAATGACAGAAGCAGAGGGATGAAGTGGTATGCTCAAGAAAAAGGTAGATGAAACCATCAAGAAAGAATAGGAAGGAAAATGAAAAAAAAAAAACTATTTATGGGACCATATCAAGAAGAGGAACATATACATAGTAAGAATTTCAAAAGGAGAAAGGGGAAAAATTACTGGTCAAAAGTTATAGTTGAGAACTTCCTCAATTTGAGGCAGGAGCCAAAAACCCAAATGAAAGAATGTAAAAAAAATTCCAATCAAATTCAATTCAAAGAGGAGCACAGACATTGTAATTAATATGGGAAAAACTAAAGAGAAAAAAATATATATAGAAAGCAGCAGGACCAGACCATAACAAGCTATCCCAGCACTGCAGAGCACAAGCGGCATAACATCCTTTAGCCCGTGCACTGAATCAACAGTTCGGTTGGCCAAGAATTGCTGGTGGGGCCCCCAGCCTTCCTGAGCAATGCTTAGGAGTTCCCCTACCTACAACCACAACTAAAAATAAGAAAGAATCCCAACATAATTATATCATTTAACTGGAAAGAAAGCTTTTAACAATATTCAAAACACATTTCTGATTGAGAAAAAAAAATTATTCAGCAATATGGGGACACAAGAAACATACCTCAATAAAAGTCATATACAACAAATCCACAACCAACATCATAACCAATGGTGAAAAACTGAACATCCTTTCTCTAGACCAGGCTAGGATATATAGCCCTTAAATCACTATTATTCAATGAAGTACTGGCTAAACTGTTTTTTGGCAGATGGGGATTTCAGCCACATCTGGCAGTGCTCAGGTCTTACTCCTGGCTTTGTGCTCAGGGATCACTTGTAGCTTGGGGAACCGTATGTGGTACTGGGCATTTAACCCAGTCAACTGCATAGAAGACAAGAATCTTTCCCTCTATACTGTCCCTCTGGTCCCCTGGCTGAACTATTTCATTGTGGTGGTTTTGGGGATGGAAATCAGGACCTCACACGAGCAAAACAAATGGTCCAACTCTGAGCTATCTTTCCCTGGCCCTCAAATAGTACAGGAATTCTATTCAGTACAAAAATTAGGCAAGGAAAAAAAAAATAAAAGAAATTCAAGTTGAAAAAGACATTGAACTATTAACATTCGCAGATGACAAAGAAAACTCGAATGATTCTTCTAAAAAAGTACCTGAAACAGGTCACATTGTCCTTCTCTCCAGGAAGGGAGCATAACATGACACACATCATATCCATGCCACCACACCCCTTGCCAGACTGCTTCACTCTGGGCATCCCAGAGGGGGGCGGGTGAGACCCCTCCCCACTCCAAGGGATCCAGCCCCGGCAGCAAAAAACCTCCAGAACTCAACTGCTGCCAGGCTCACGGCCCTCCACATGCTCGGGGGAGGCCTCACCTAGAAGTGAACGTATTTCTGGAGGGCTCACCCACATTTGTGGCCGCACAACAACTCAACTCATACCTCACACCACCCACACTCCAATAGTACCGCACCACATTTGATGGAATTTAAAGTAGGAGGCAACCAATCTGAGAGGGAAATTTTTTTTACAGACATATACATTTTATATTTATATATATATTCATATATAAGTATTTACATAAATATATATGTATGTAAATAAGCACACAGGGCTCAACCTTTAACAACATGTTAGTGATGTCAACTGTCATTCTGACAGGAAGGTTACAAGGTTTCAGTGGTTCCACCTTAGATTTCTTGTTTTTAGTTTTGTTGAGTCTGTGTTTTGGATATATGGTTACACCACTCACCCATATCACCGGTATAACTGAAGCCCTGAGGCCTGTTCACCCGTTACTTCCTGTTCTCTTCCCACCTTGATTTCTTTCCTTCTCTGCCCTTCTCCTACAGTGGAGTAATGAGTGATCTAGGCACCCACCTTTAACTATAATAAATTTCCTTATCCAGTATTCTATATACCTCAGATAAATGAGATCATCCTGTGTTTGTCAGAAAATAGAGCTTTTAGGTCTTGCTTTTACAGGAACTCAGAAACACAGTATAAGAGGGCTTAATGACTCACAACCTCGTTGACTGAAGTATTTTTGAGAAATCCTTTAGCCATTTAGTTCTAACATATAAATATAAATTATTGTATGCCTGCTAAGGAGACAGGCTTGGGGAGTGATTGTGAAAATAGAGAGAATAGTGGAGGGACGGTCACTCTGGTGTTTGAACTGGTGTTGAAATATCGAGAGACCATAATAACTGTATTATGAACAACTTTGTAAAGTTTTTTAGAAGAGTATTTAAAGTCCATGAAAGAAGGTATGTCAATAACAACATAAAAGGAAAATTAATAATTAGTTAAGTAACAGCTAATTAGAAAGATCATCTTCCCAGTATGCCTAGGACAATACAAAATTTAACACCATTGTTCCAGTATCCTGTAGTTTATATCTTTACAAAAAAAAAAAAAGCTATTAGTAACTGCATTAAATTAAAACAGAATAGACTTTGCAGATCCAATTCTCTAACAATTTTTGCCATCCTCTTATCTAATAATTTATAAATTACATGAAGAGTGCTTAAATCTGAAAGTCAACAGGTGAGAAATTACACATCTTTCACAAGCGACATTCAGAAATTTTTGATTAAAAATAATAAAACTGGGGCTGGAGCGATAGAACAGCAGGTAGGGTGTTTGCCTTGCACGCAGCCAACATGGCCAACACAGGTTCGATTCCCAGCACCCCATATGGTCCCCTGAGCACCACCAGGAGCAATTCCTGAGTGCATGAGCCAGGAGGAACCCCTGGGCATCGCCGGGTGTGACCCAAAAAGAAAATAAATAAATAAATAAATAAATAAAACTGGGGCTGGAGAGATAGTATAGTAGGTAGTGCGCTTGCCTTGCACAAGGAGGAGTCAGGTTCAATCCCTGGCATCCCATATGGTCCTCCAAGAATCATCAGGAGTAATTCCTGAGCACAGAGCCTTGTGTGACCCCAAACACAGAAACAAAAAATTTAAATAATAAAGTTGAACGTGATGCAAGCAGCAAAGTTTAACTCCTAGTTCCTACTACCAATATGCAACCTACTTCCTATTCTGTTTAACAGGTTGCCAGTGACAACATCAGACTTACAGGCCAAATGCATATGAAATACAATTCTGTTTATCATCATTTCAGTTGACATCTTGCAGCAAAATCATACATCTTTGTATGTTTGTTCGGTCGTCTGGTTTTTGGACCGCACAGGCTGTGCCCAGGGAACCATGTGTGGTGCCAGGATTACAACCAGGATGGCAGACGAAGCCACATGATAGGCAAGCACTTTCAATCTTTGCATTATCGTGCCAGTTCAATTCAAAATTCTTAATTTCACTTGCAAACTTCCTCATATGTGAGCAAGTGACAGTGAGCAGTATTGGAAACAACAAAATACTTTATCATCAGAATTCTTCAAAGAATTCAATTATGCCAGCTATTTTGTTTTGGGATCTTGGGCCTCCCCAGTGCTGTTGGGGAATTTGGGTGGACATAGTGCTTGAGGACCTATACTGTTCTGGGGATTATAACTTGGAACCTCTCCTATGCAATGCCTGTGCTCCACGCCTCTGAGCTCCCCGTGCCCCGGTTATGTGAGTTATGTCATCTACTAATATTAGAAAATCAAGTATTTCCCATTAATGATTTCATATCAAATCATTCCAATTGAATACACTGGAATAAATCCAAACGAATTTATAAAAAGCATTTGGGAAGTCGTTCTATTAGTATCAAAATATGGCACTAATAGAAATTGTTTATCTATTCCAATATTAATAATTAAAATATGACTGGGGTAGAGAGCATGATTTAATAAGGAGACTAAACCTTCTCTAGCTATGTTACAGTGGGATTTCAACAAGTTTATAGGACGAGAAAACTAAGAATGTTGTTAAAAGAAAAAAAGTTGGAGGATCCAGAGTTAGCTCAAAGAGCAAGTGCTCTTGTTCCAAGTGCCAAGGAAAACAACCCAGAGCAACTTGCCAGGAGTTGTAGTTGAACTACACTGAAAGCTGTAGTTCAAAAACAAACAAGTGTGTGTGCGTGTGTGTGTGTGTGTGTGTGCGCGCGCAAACACAAGTAAAGCAAACATTTCAGGTTTGGAAAACTCACCATACACACTTGCTGGGTTAGAACTGTTCATGGTAAAAGGTCCGTTAATGATGCCAGAAGAAAGAAGCTCATCAGATCCCCGCTGAAAGGCAAGAAGCAACATTCTGTTATTAAAGTCAGTTTTAGATAACAGTCAACACTTTCTGCTAAATAAGTAAACGGTACTGTCCAGAAAGAGATTCCAGTGGGGAAGATGCTTGCTTTGAATGAGGCCTGATCTTCAGTACCACATAGGACCAGTGCCCTGGTCGCCTGAGTACTGCCAAGAGCAACCCTTAAGTATAGAGCCAAGAGTAAGCTGGCTCTATACCCAGCAGGCTGAGGCCCCAAAACTAAAACAAACAAAATTAAGTTAAAAATACAAGTTCACCTGAATATCAAGATATTTATAGAGAAACTCCAGGCCACAAATCAATAACCACTGTGACAATCAGTGATTTTCGATCCTCTAAAAACCACTGTTGACTAGAACCACAGTATCTAAAGGTAGCAGTAAACTATATTTCTACAGTAAAGACAAATTACTACACACCCAACTGACTACTATATACTTAAATAAACAAAAAACGGAACTGTTAATATAACTCTCTTTATTCAAAATGCTGTTCTCTGAGACACTGCAGTGGAAGTGCCAGAAATTACACTTAGAGGCTGCATTCTGATGTCATTTTTGTAGCATAAATGTGCATGCAAATAATTTGTGAGGAAAAAATTTCAACTTTTTATCTTTTGTGGAGAGGGAATTCACACCCAGTGGTTCTCAGGGCTTACTCCTGGTTCGGCACTCAGGGATCATGTCTGGTGTCAGGCCCCAAGTAGGAAGCATGCAAGGCAATAATCACCTTACCCACTGTACTATCACTCTGGCCACTCCCTGTATTCTTTCTTAAAGTATCATTTATTTCATGTAAGAATTTTGACCAATCCCAAAACTAAACTATTGAAATCCTAGAATCATATGAGACAGTTTTTTTTGTAATAGCTATTACAAATGCAAAAAAATTCATTTAGGAAGGATAATATAAAATTAAATATTAAAAATCAATCTATTTCAAATATTACTCTATTTACTAGCATGATCGACTTTTTTTTTTAATTATTTTTAGTGAAACACCATGAGGTACAGTTGCAGATTTACAATTTTTTGTGCTTGGGTTTCGATTATACAATGATCAAATACCCATCCCTCCACCAGTGCCCATTTTCCACCACCAGGATAATATCCCTCCCACCCCCATCCCTCCCAGCATGATCAATTTTTTTAAGAACAAATTTTTCACCAGCTGAATGATAAAACCATGCTACAAATACTAAAATAATAATGCTTCAAGAGGTATTTGTTTTATTTTATATATTTTTTGTTTGGGGAAAGTGCTCAGGGATAATTTCTGGCAGTGCTTAGGAGAACACAGGCAGTGTTGAGGATCTAACCCTGGTCGCCTGCAAGCAAAACATGTATCCCAGTCCATTTATCTCTTTGGCTCCTACAACACAAATTTAGTGTTTAGAGGTAAGTATCACTTCAGTAATGAGAGAGTTTTAGTCTTTGTTGAAGAAAGGCAAACAAACCACCAATGTATTTGCATAAGAGAAATTCAATTACTTAAAGATTGCCCAATTAGAGAGGGCAGTTAGGATAGAGAAGGGGCCACTATGACAATGATAGTTGGAAATGACCACGCTAGACAAGAACTAAGCGCTGAAAAGAGGTACACGATGATCTGTCAGTACCTGTACTGCAAACCATAATGCCCAAACGGGGAGAGGAAGAAGTGGGAGTTAGGGAAGAGACGGGGAGAGGGAGAGAGAGAGGAGGAAAAGTGTCTGCCATCAAGGCAGGGGATGGTGGTGGGAAATGTACATGGTGAAGGGGCTAGTGTTGGCGCAACTGTGTGACTATGTATGTCATGGTGGTTAAATAAAAATAAATAAAAGTTATAAACCTACATAAAGAGAAAACTTAAAAAATGATTGCCCATTTAAATATCCCTGTAGTTCTTACTCTAGCTTATAGAGACAGCTTGGGACACTGGCACTGTCACTGTCCTCCGGTTGTTCATCGATTTGCTCGAGCGGGCCCAGTAACGTCTCCATTGGAGACTTTGTTGTTACTGTGTCTGGCATATCGAATACGTCACGGATGGCTTGCCAGGCTCTGCCGTGCGGGCGAGATACTCTCGTAGCTTGCCGGGCTCTCCGAGAGGGACTGAGGAATCGAACTCGGGTCGGCCATGAGGAAGAAATTAAGTAAGTGTAAAAGATGAAATAAAACCAAAACTCTCAATATCCCTAGAAAGACCAAGATTTTTATCTTACTTAAAGCATAGGTCTTTCAAGTATGACATGGATATACTAACAGCCAAAGATAGATGAAAAGATTTTATAAAAGGAATTGATTTTTAAATGCAGCAAAAAACTGAAGATACCTAACATGTTTAATAAATGAGAAATCTGGTAAAGTAGGTGTTACTAGCAGACACACCTTTGACACATGGCAAGCTTAGGATCAATGCTTTTATGTACAAAATGAGTTGATTTGAACTTACAAACAGATCATTTTAGCTTTATCTCTGAACTTGTCAACTGAATATTAATTTTAGGTAGTGAAGATTGAAAAATAAAAATAAAGAGTCTAGACAATAACAGAAAAGAATATCCTCATAATTTGCCCCATAATTTGGGGTATGAAAAGTGGGGTGTTTGCCCCAATACTACTACTTACACAAAATTTATTTTAAAATATATTTTTAATAAGACATTATAAGACGAATGGCAAGTCAGAGAGTGGAAGAAAGCTATCTGCAATGTACAGAACCAATAAAGAGTTTTAGTTTTGTTTTGGTTTGGTTTGGGGGCCATACTGGTGGTTAAGGTTTGACTTATGAGAAATTAACCTGGCCTCTAATATATATTCAAGCAGGAACAACAAAAGCACATCCCAAACACTTATAACTCTTTTGTAGTTTCTGCTTACACAAGTTTCTTTTTCTCTCTTACCATCTGAAACAAAATCACATTCCAAAGATAACTCTTCTAGCCTGATTCCCAATATAACTCTACACAACTATCAATGCTGTAAGTGAACACAAAATGTTTTTCTAAGTTTTATCTAAATTATCAGTACCACATTCAATAAAAATGAAAAGAAGTTCTATTTGATGGTAATCAAAGAAATGCCAAGTTAAAATCTCAAATACTAGCATAAAATAGAAATAATTCTTCATATTTGGGGGGTTAGGAAATAGCTTATTGGACCGTGGAGGTAGTACAGAGGGTAAGGTGCTTGCCTTGCATGCAGCTGATGCAGGTTTGATCCCCAAAATCCCATATGGTCCCCTGAGCAATACTAGAAGTGATTCCTGAGTGCAGAGTCAGGAGTAACTCCTGGGCATCACTGGTGTTCCCCAAATGTTCCCACCATTAAAAAAGATTTGTTAACATCACTATAACAAGAAAAAGCAGATTTACCAATAAAATAGGTAATAGGGCAGGAGTGACCGCACAGCAGGCAGGGCACTTGTCCTTGTACCCAACCAACTGAGGTTCAATTCCTAGCACCCCATTTGGTCCCTCAAGCCAGCCAAGAGTGATCCCTGAAGGCAGAGCCAGGAGTAAACCCTGAGCAACACTGGGTGTGACCCCAAAAAGCCAAAAAAAAAATTGAATAGGTAACAAGTTCAAAATAAAAACGTTTAAACTTCAAAGATATCACTAAGAAAAGATATCACAAAAGATATCACAAGCCAGGAACGGTGGGGGTTGGTGGTGTTGGGAGGTGGGAGTGTTTATAAATCATCTGACAAGGAACTAGTATCCTGAACACAGAATTTTTTTTTTTAAGAGTGTATTACAGAGGGTCTTACACAAAGAAGGCACATGCTTTACCACTTGAGACATACCTCTGGCTCCCAGACCACAGAAACTCTTATAAGTCAACAATAAAAACAGGCACAGAGTATGAATAGAAGTTCTCAAAGAAAAAGATAAGACATTAGAAAATGCAAATAAAAAAGACAATGCAAAGCAAAACCATTCAAGCACTTCAATTAAAAAAAAAACAGTGACTACAGGGGCCAGAGAGATAGTATAGCCAGCAGTGACCTGACTCACATGCGGCTGACCTGGGTTTGATCCCCAGCCCTCCACCCCCAAGTACCACTAGGAATGACTGCTGAGTGCAGAAACAGGAGTGAGTCCTGAGCACCACCAGCTGTGGCTCCCACAAACACTGTATCACTGTCATCCCATCGATTGACTCAAGCGGGCGCCAGTACTGTCTCTGTCTCCATTTTTCCCAGTCCTGAGATTTTGTTTTATCTTTATTTATTTTTTAAATTGTTATTAGTGAAACACTATGAGGTACAGTTGTAGACTTACAAATTTTTGTGCTTGGGTTTCAGTTATACAATGATCGAGTACCCATCCCTCCACCAGTGCCCATTCTCCACCACCACTAAACCCAGTATCCCTCCCATCCCCCACCCCCCATCCCACCCTGCCTCTTGTGGCAGGGCATTTCCTTTAGTTCTCTCTCTCCTTTTGGGTGCTGTGGTTTGCAAGAGAGGAATTGAGTGGCAATCATGTTCGGTCTATAGTCTACTTTCAGCATGCATCTCCCATCCTGGGTGGATCTTCCCAACACCCTTTATTTGGTGCTCCCTTCTCTATCTGAGCTGCCTTTACCCCTAGAGTGTGCGTCAGCCCTGAGATTTTAGCAGCCTCTCCTTACTCGTCTTTCCTAACGCTGCCATATTGGAGGCTCTTTCAGGGTCAGGGGAATGAGACCTGTTATTGTTACTATTTTTGACATATCGAATACGCCACGGGTAGCTTGCCAGGCTCTCCCAAAACAAGCAAACAAGATGGGAACAATACTATGCAGAGAAGAATGTGGAAGGTATTGGATCTCTTACAATGCCAAAAGGAATATAAAATGGCACAGTGACTCATCTAGTGATACGTGTACACGGCAATTTCAAAAGATCACATGCTCAAAAGAAAACTCATGGTTGATTTCCTTTTATACAACATTAAAAAAAATTACACGGGTAGGAAAGAGAATAGTGGTCGCCAAGGAGTGAC